CCTCTGCTCTCCCGCGGGCTGCATGGCGGGTCAGCAGTGCCTGGAACAGTGCCCATGTGCACATCCTCGTCCCCGCTCTGGCCTCGCTTCTTCACAAGTTGCCCAAGAGAAAATTCCACAAGTGGGTTTCTCCCGTCACCTGTGGCCAGCATCGTCCCCACAGAGAGACGTGAGCAGGGGGCACAGCGGCGGGGAGCTTGAGCCTCGAGGCACCGAGAGCTGCAGGCGGGTCCCTCCGCACTGGCCCATCTCGCCTGTTGGGTCTTCATGTTGGGCCGAATGGCGGGGGTGTGCAGGGACTGCAGCTAGTCCACTGTGTGTGCCTCTGGGTTTGTTTTGTAAACAGATGCCCTCTCCCAGGCTTCATTAAGCCTGGAAAAAACATTTCAAAGTAAGAACATTTAGTTGTCCAGAAATTAACATACCATAAAATTGACTGTTTTTCCCTTTTCGGTATACAGTTCTGAGTCTTACCGCACGTGCACAGATTTGTGTAACCACCCCAACCTGGCTCGTTTTGTGTAAAATGGTGATAGATGTCTGGATGTGTGCTTCACTGGACTAGCACTCTGCACGCCCCTCGTCCCCAGGAAAAATGCAAATTATGAACCTGCCAGACAGGCAGGCAGCCACTGATGTTTCCCACAAAGAGGAAGCCCAGTGACCTACGTGATGGACTGTAGTTCCTGAGAATTGCTAACAGCCCCCCATGGTGGAGTGGGCTGAAGTGAGGGGTCTCAGAACCATGGAGGCTCAAGGCAAACACAGGTGACCCTGTCCTCAACAGTCATCGCATAAGCGAGCTCACAGCTGAGGCAGCTGCCGGGGAAATGGTACCGAAGCAGAAGCGTTGGGAGAGAGGGCCTGTCCTCAGTGGCAGTGAGTCACTGGACTACCGAAACCACATCCAGATACAGTGGACACTTGGACAACATGGGGCTTCAGGGTGCCGACCCTCTGCAGAAAAATCCATGGATGACATTTGACTCCCCAAAAACTTAACTGCCAATAGCCTACTGTTGACCAGAAGCCTTCATGACGTCAATTAACACATATATTACATACTGTATTCCTCCAATAAAAGAAGCCAGAGAAAAAGTGTTACTAAGAAGATCTTAAGGAAAATACATTTATGGCACTGTCTTGTATTTTTTTTAAAAACCCACGTGTAAGTAGACCCACGCAGTTCACACCTGTGTTGTGCACTCTAGCTGTGCTCTCAAAACTCGAAGAAATGCTTCCCAGGCACGTCGGGATGAGGGGCTCATTCCCACTTTGCTCTGAGCCTGCAGCCTTACGTCCGCCAGCTTCCAGGCGCCGGGTCCTGTGATGCACCCATAGCCCCGCAATGCGGGAGAAAGTGTCTGAGATTCTGGATCCAGCTTGGAACTGAGTATCTGGCATGTTCTCATGGACACCACATGCTCATGCCCTGCTCATGACCTGCCACTGGCTGAGTCCAGATTTTATCGTTTAGAAGGAATAAACCGAGAAAGGAAATGCCTGGGTGTGGAGCCCCTGGGCCCAGCTCTCCACCAGCCAAGCTTGTTGACATGTAACATCTATCACCATTTGTTTTCATTAGGGAGACGGGGCTCCCTCTCCACCCTCTGGGCCCCAAGGAGGTGCCAGCACAGCCCACTGCAGCTCAGACAGAAACCCCTGGCTCCCACAGACGGGACCAGGGCCTGTCCCAGGTAGGGCGACCCGCTTGGGAGGTGCCCTCACTGCACACATAGGACCTTCGAAGTCCTGTCGTCCTGAAGCAGGGGCAGGAGCATTCTAGGGTGTGACTTGAGATGCTCAAGATAAAAGAAGTCCCTGAAGAAGGAGCAACTGGAGGTCAGGGAAGACTGTGGGAGGAGAGATCCGGGGAGGACATCCTGTACCTGTGCGTGCCCAGCACGGAGATGCTGCCCCCAAGGAAACCCTAACAGAAGTGTGAGGACTGTGGGTGGCAGAGAGGCTCATGGTTTGTGTGCAGACACCCTGGTACACATTCTGCAATGTTTTCCGCAAGGTAAAAAGCCTGAAAGGGAACACACCATAAATGTAATAGTTGATTTATCTGGGTGGTACAATTAGGGATGGTTTTAGTTTTTTCTGCATCATGTTCTATATTTTGTATCAATGAACGTGTATCAGTCTTGTACACAGAAAACATTTTCAGAAAACAAAATTAATGATTCCATTCATAAAACTTTGAGTGTCTTCTCTATAAACCAAAGAAATTACATTGATTATAAAACTAAATGTATAGTTACATATATTGTTCTCAAATTTTTTTCCTAAAAATGTTTTCTCAAGGTGGAGCTACCTTTTTCTCTGACTATAATCTTGCCTTTTTGTTGATGTTTAAGAAATCCAGAAAATACAGAAAATAAATCCTGTATGATCTCAGCAGTCATTGGCAGCTGGTAAATTTCCTCCATACAGTTACCTGTTGTGTGGAATCACTCCAAATGTTCTAACTGAAGCGAGGAAACCTCACTTAGGCTGGGGTAGCGGCCGGCAGGGGGAGCTCTGTGCCCAGCACTGGTTATCAATTACAGACCCACCAGGAAGAGAGGCACCTCGCAGGTGGGTACCGCTTTACCCACCCCGCTCCGGGCGGAGGGTTTCCTGCTGCCCCGGCAACAGCCCAGCCAATGGCAGACAGCCTAGCTAATGCGAGAGGGTCACAGCCCAGCCAATGGAGACGGCCACAGCCCAGCCAATGGGAGGCGGCCACGGCCTGGCCAATGAGAAGCCACCACACTTCCAGCTCCCAGCTTACTCCAATGGGCTCTCTGTTTACAACAGTCCAACCCCCGCACCCCCTATAAAAAGAGCCTCCTCCGCTTACCCTCGGGCCTGCCCGTGGTGGCGCTGGGACCTGCGTGTCCTGCCTTGGGATTCTCTGCTGATACAGAGCACCCTTCTCTGCTGGTGGGACAGCGCGCAGCGTTACTGTTAAGTGGACGCGATCTGCTCGCTAAAGGACCCTTCGGTTTTCGCTCCTGCTTCGCGTTCTGGTTTTGACGTGTGTTGGACTCCCGGTGCTGTTCGTTTCGTCTTTTAGGGGGGAGGGAGAGTCCCAAACGGGCCCACGGCGGGGGCGGGGCGCGAGGTCAGGCCCTGAGGTCAGGCCCGGGCCACCCGGCGCCCCGTTGCGTCGTGGCTTTCGCCGACGTCGTTATCGAGCCGCGGAGTTCAGCCCTAAGACGTGCAAGGCCTTGTTTTCCGCAGGTTCGCGAAGTGGTGCAGTTTGTCTGTTGTCCCTTGGTTGCCTGTGCGTTGGGTGTCCTAGGAAACTGCCGAATCCAAGGTCGTAGAGACTCACACTCGTGTTTCCTTCTACACGTTTTACGGGTTGAGGCCTTGTGTTTAGGTCTGTGATCCACGTTGCATTAATTTTGTATATCGTGTGAGGTAGGGGCACAACTTTATGCTGTTGCATGTGGATGTCCAGTTGTTCTGTGTTCGTTGAAAGACTTCTCATCAAGTTGTTGATTTTGTAGGTTAATTGGGAAGTACTGACATCTTAATATTTAATCTTTCAGGCCATGAAAATGGGATGTCCTTCCATTTGTTTAGGTCTTTAATTTGTTTCAAAGATGTTTTTCGATTTTCAGTGTAAAGTTTTGCACTCTTGTTACATTTATTCCTGGGTATCTTTTTCACGCTGTTGTAAATCAAAGTGTTTTCTTGACTTATTTTTGGATTGTTCATTACGAATATATAGAAATACAATTGAGTTTTGTATGTGAATCTTGTATCCCAGAACTTTGCTGAACTCATTCATTAGTGCAAGGCTGTGTGTGTGTTTGTACTCCTTTGGGTTTTCTACTTACAGGATTGTGTCATCTGCAAATTGAGACCATTTGACTTCTTCATTTCCCAAGTATTTTAAAATGTCTTATTTTTCTTATTTCCTACTTGTTCTGAGTAGAACTTCCAGCACAATGTTGAATAGAAGTGGTCAGAACATATATTCATGTCTTATTCCTCATTTTAGAAGAAAAGCATTTAGTGTCACACCATTTTAAGTATGATATCAGCTGTGGAGTTTTGCAAATTCCTAGGCTGACTGGTTTTGTCATGAAAAGGTGTTGGATTTTGTCAAATGCTTTTTGTGCATCTATTGAGATGACTGTGTGGTGTCATCCTTTGTTCTATGAATATGGTCTATCACATGACCTGTGTTTTCATACTTTGAACCAACCTTGCAATCCTGGGATAAATTCCACTTGGTCATGGTGTAGAATCCTTTTTATATAATGATGGACTCAGTTTACTAGTTCTTTGTGGAAGATTTTTGCAACTGTATTCATAAGGGATCTTGGTGTATAGTTTTGTGATATTTTCAACTGGCTTCGGTATCAGGGTAGTGCTGATCTCACAGAATGAGTCAGGAAGTGTCCCTGCCATCTCCTGTTTTTTTGGAAGACTTTGTGAAGGATTGATAAGAATTCGTTAAACATTGGATAGAATTCACTCATGAAGCCCTCTGGACCTGGGCGTTTCTTTGTGGGAAGTTATAGGTTTTTTTAAACTGCTCTCTCAATCCCTTGTTATAGATCTAGTCATAGTTTCTGTTTCTTCTTCAGTTTCAATGGTTTGTGTCTTTGGAGGAATCCATCCATCTAAGCTAACTTTTTATGCTGTTTCAGTTTTTTCATTTCAGAATTAAAAGCTGTGTGTTTATTTTTTGTTTTCATGTGAAACTTTACCATCAGTCAAAAGCAGGGGGGCCTCCTTCTTGAACCCAGTCAGTGAGCGTTCACCCGGGAACAGGACCCAGGTGGGGCCACTGATTCTTGTGGCCCCTCTCCCCCCCCATCTGTTGGCCTTGGGCACCAGATACTGTGGATCTGTCTGTAAAGTCCCTCGAACTCCTGTTCCTACAAAGAAGGGCAGATTCGTTTGTCACTTTCTGAATTCTACTTTGTGGAAAATAAATTGTAAGTTGTGACAAGCTGTTCTTTCCTGATAATTATGTTAGTGTCAATTGCTTCTAGGTTTTTACCTCCAATGGCCCAACTGTGATCATGCCCACCTGGTTCTGCTCTCGAGCATGGTTTTCCCACGTGGGCCCATTTGACGAGGGCGGACAGGTAAGTATGGGCCCCTTGTGGATTCCCTCCTCTCGGGCCAGGGGAGGCCCTGTCATCCCCTGGGTGTGAATCCCCCAGCCCTACCTGCTTGTGGGTGCTGTGCTCCCTCTGGGGATCCAGGGATTCAGAAAACGTCTTCTGTGAAGGCCTTTCCAGCACTTCTCCTGCTGGCTGGGCTGAGCGTCCAGAGAGCATCTGGAGCCCTGGCACCCACTTGGGATTTCCATGTGAAGGCTGCAGGCGCCCAGGGCATCTGTGCCTGACTCACACCTGCCTGGCCCAGACCCCAGGCTTCCTCATCCTGGTTTAAAAGCTGTTTTTGGCAAAGTGCAGGATGTGGACATTGTCCACATCCATGCTGCCTCTGGATGACCTTAGGAGAGGGGCCGGTGGCCCTGGGCATTCTGGCCAAACTGGGATGGGCTCTTCCTCTAAATCCTCTCCTACCTGCGGGGCCCCACCTGCAGAGCTCAGCCCACACTGGTCTCTAGTGTGTGCCCCAGAAATGGGGACCTGGCCTCTAGCCTGCTTTCTCTGCCCCACCCCACAAACAGTCTTACAGTTAATGCTCCTACACCCAATTGAAAAGGAAATCTTAGGGTCAGTTTGTTTATTTTCCTTCAGACTTCCCTTAAATTAGGTTTTGAGAATGTGAGGTCCAGTCTCCGTGGTGGGAGTGAGTGGATCGGGTATGTGAGGGGCCCATCAGGCCTGCACTGTTGGACCTTTGATGAGGCCCCACACCACGCCCCCACCAACTGCTGGGCTGGGGGCAGGAGGGAGCCTGGACACAGAGGCTGGCAGAGGGTCGGGGCCACGGGGTTCTTGGGGGTCTGGAGACCCCAGGCTGGGAGGCAGGGGTGGCGACTCAGACCCAGGCTCCACCGCCTGCCCTGGGACCTTGGCCACTGTCCTTCTGCTCTGAGCCTACCTCCCTCCTGTCGAGGGAAGTCAGAGTCAGCCACATGGACCCTCAGCTCAGGGCCAACCCCACCCTGATCCCACCCAGCCCTTGCCTGTCATTTTGGAGGGAGAGCCTCCACCACCCCACGTGCTGGACCGTGTCCCTCACAGCCACCAGACACACCCTCCAGGAATAGTGCCATTCTCACACATTTACCAGCCAGAGCCCCTGAGGGATCGGCCAGCAGCGTCTGCGCCACAATGTAGACCAGGGGCCTGCCCCAAGCAGGTCTCCCCACCATGTCAGGCTGCCACCAGCACCACCTCGTGTCCCTAGGATTGGCCCGAGCAGGGAGCCAGGTGCCACCACCCGACCGTGCTTCTCCGGCCCGTGGCCTGGGCCACACCTCGCAGACACGTGAATCACCCTGCTGTGCACTGACCGACCTTCCCCTCTGCCCCCTGCCGGGATGGGAGACCAGGTCACTTTGTCACGGAGCTGTGCCGATTCATGACTTTAGGGTGTTGGGCACCATCCCTGTGTTTCTGTTTCTCCCCCAAATTCATACAACTGGGAGAGAACTTGTACTCATGTGGCACGACCCTGCCCAGGGGCCCCCAGTTTCAGGGACCTCAGCTCCACCAGGGGCAGCAGGCACCAAGGCAGGAGAGATGGCCGAGCTTTCTTTTTAGGGGGGCCTCTCAGCTAACAAGTTCTCCCTGACAGTATGCCAACGGGGTTGGTGAAGGGAAGCCCAGCAAGACTCCCCACTTCTAGCAGGTGCCACAAAAAGCCACTGTTCTCGTTGGAGCTGGATCCAAGCACCTGCTTTCATATTCTTCTGCAGAAAATAGCCCAGAAATGGGCATCAGGAGACATTCCCTGGGAAACACTGATAGAAAGATCTGACACATCCTTAACTCACAGCCCCGAACAGTCTGAGGACTCAAAGTACATCAAGCCTTTTAGCTCAAAGTAATTCTTCCCGGAGAAGCACCTGGGGGAAAAGAAAGCCCATCCATGGGGGCTTTGTATGGGGGCTCAGGGACCAGAGATCAGAGACCAGGCACCAAGGATCAGATATCAGGGGTCAGAGACCAGAGCAGAGTTCAGGGACCAGAGATCAGATTTCAGGCATCAGGGATCAGAGACCAGGGATCAGAAATCTGAATCAGAGATCAGAGTTCGGGGACCAGAGATTGGAGACCAAAGATTAGAGATCATGCATCAGGGATCAGAGACCAGGGATGAGAGGTCAGGCACCAGATATCAGAGATCAAGGACCAGGGACTGGAGATCAGGGATCAGAAACCAAGGACCAGGGACCAGAGGTCAGAGATCAGGAACCTAGAGACTAGAAACCAGGTATCAGAGACCAGGGATCAGAGTTCAAGGACCAGAGACCAGAGATCGGGGACCAAGGATCAGAGATCATAGTTAAGGGACTATGGATCAGGGACCAGAGATTGGGGACCAGCGATCATATTTCAGGCACTAGGTATCAGAAATCAAAGAGCAGGCACCAGGGACCAGAGAGCAGGGATCAGTGACCAGAGATTAGGGATCAGGGACTAGAGATCTGGGATCAGGAAGAAGGGACCAGGGGTCAGGGGCCAGGACTAGGTCTGTGATGGGGCTGTGGCTGGAGCAAGTGGGGGGTCTGGGGCATAAAAAGGCAGATCACAGAAGGTAGCAGAGCCCACCACCAGGACAACAAGAACATCAATGTTTCCATCGTTCTTTAATGCCATTCCCGGAGAAAGAAGAGCTGAAGTTATTCGTGGAGTATGCTCCAAGGGGAACACAGAAGCCCTGAGAGCTGGACGTGGGTTTGGGGACTGATCCTTAGGTAGTTCTCCGTGGGCCTTAGTGAAGAACCAAGGTCTATCCAGGGCCAAGAGCTTGTGGTTCCTACTCTGTGGACAGAAGGGCAAGTGGCTGAAGCAGCAGGAAACAGTCCAGGTGCTACGTGATGTGGGGGTGACCAAGGTGCAGACCGGGGTGGCAGCAAGACTCCGCAAGTGAGCTGGGCCCAAGGGGGCATGGAAACGGGCTGTGAGCGGGAACGTGCAAGGTGGAAGTGCACTTGCAGAGGCAGTCTAGGAGGGGGACAGGAGTCTGAGATTTGGAGGCCGGTAAAGTCATGGCCCGGGATGGCATCCAGCCGCGGTAAGCAGTGTCGGCTGCCAGGCTGAGGAATCTGAACGCCCCCGCTGGGCAACCAGTTCAGGCCCTTCCACAAAAAGAAAAGTAACAAAAGGGCCTCTTGTTGGTTCTGAACATGCCTTCTGAGAGCAGGCTGGCCTGGGTGGGAAGGGCTGGAGAGGCTCGTCACAGCCACGGGCCGGACTGGAGGCCCAGAGAGGCTGGCCACGCAGCAGACACTTTTCCGATGTGCTTTTCTGATGGGAGGAGCCCCGACTGGGGTTGCCACGTGAGAGGAGAGGCCGCCCGCCTCCCCCACCATGTGCAGCCCCCAGAATCCCTGCCAGAGGCTGAGGCTTCCCGCTTTTATTTGCATTTTCCAAGATGACTAAGGGTGTTGAACAATTTTTATGTGCCGATTGGCCATTTATTATGTGAAGTGTCCAAATCTTTTGCCCACTTTCAAGTGGGTGGTTTTGCGGTTGTCAGGTTGTCGGTATTCTCTGTCAAGTACCTGCTTGTGGATGTTTCCTCCCATCTTGGTTTCTGTGTTCTGGGATGTCCTCACTTCCACTTGCCTGCGCCTCCCAAGTTCTGTCCTGTGGGCTTCGGGGCAGTGAGGCTGTGGCTTCCATCCCCGGTTTGTCTGCTCTGTCCCTGCCCCACGGTGTGGCTCAGGCTGTCCCGCCCGCGGCCTCCACACTGGGCACGGCCGTCACCTCTGCAGGGACAGCTACTCGGCCAACTGGAGCCAGGAGCCGCCACCCACTCTTGGGTTACTTAAATTCCTCTTGGTACTGAAGGTTTATATTTTGTTCTAGTGGTTATTTCTGTATTTGTCTCTTTCTATTTTTATTTTTTTAAGATTTTATTTATTTGAGAGAGAACGTGTGAATGTGGGGAGGGGCAGAGGCAGAGGGACAAGCAGACCCCCGCTGAGCAGGGAGCCTGACGCGGGGCTCGATCCCATGACCCTGAGATCATGACCTGAGCCGAAATCAGGAGTCAGACGCTAAACCAACTGAGCCACCCAGGCGCTCCCTTTCTGTTTCTTTTTTGAATTCAATCCACCCTCTGTTATTTTGGAGGCTTATTGAGATGTAATTCATATACCATCCATTTCCTCTGTGAAAAGGTGCAGTTTGATGTATTCTAGCGAATCCACAGGCACCACCTCACTACCGTGTGCTGCCAGAGGGCCGTGTACCTGAGAGCCACACACCTCGGCCAGCCGGGCCCGCACCATCTGCCCCACCCTCCTCCAGGACTCCTTTTTGCATCCTGGCCTTCTGACTTGGGGGCTTCCCTCATGCTCTCAGGTGCTGGGAGGGCTCAGTGTTGGTCTGTCTCATGGTTGGGGTCTTCTGTGTTGTGGGAGCGTTTGGTTTTCTGCTTTCATCTCACACCAGCTCCATCCAGATGAAGACTTTCTGCATCCCTGCATTCTCGGGGTTCATGCAGTCCGCCCCCTCCTGCCACTGCAGGGAAGCGCAGCAGCTTTTCTGGGGTGTGTGGGGGCTGGCGTGAGAGGCGGTGGCCCGTTCTGTGCTTCCTTCTGTCCCACGAGATCCCAGTCCCCTTTCACACGTCTCAGGGGTGTGCCTGCCCTGCCCACTACATCCCCACCCACAAGACCATTCAGTGCACCCGGGAACCGCCCCCCGCCATGGGCTCAGCTACCCCAGCTTCCTTGGCTCCCCAGGCCGCGTCACTCCTGCCATCACGGCCTCTGTCCAGAGTTTTTGGCTGGCCAGAGGAGCCTGAGTGTTCTTGGTGAACACGTGCCCACCAGGGAGCCCACCAAGAGGGGAGGAGTGAAAACCGAGGAACCGTGAGTGGAGGGCCAGTGGAACAGACGCCTGCCTCGACAGGAGCCGTGGTGCCCCAGTGCTGCCTCCAACTAAATTCTCACTTTCCTTCTTGCCAGAAATAAGGAAACCCTGAGGGTGAGTTCTTCCAGGTCATCAGAAGAAAGGGCACCTTTTTCCTAAAGCTGTAAAGTGTGCAGAGTTAAAATTTGCTCTTTAAAGGTACTTCTGGGGCACCTGGGTGGCTCAGTCAGTTAAGTGTCTGCCTTCGGCTCAGGTCTTGATCCCAGGGTCCTGGGATCGAGCCCCAAGTTGGGCTCCCTGCCCGGCAGGAAGCCTGCTTCTCCCTCTCCATCTCCCTCTGCTGCTCCCCGCCATGCACTCTCTCTCTCAAATAAATAAGTCTTTTGTAAAAATAAAGGTGCCTTTGAAAATGCAGAGAATTAGAAAAAAAATACAAATCACCTGTGACCCCGTCACCACACAGCGGATCTGAGCTTCAGGCGTGGCTCCTTTGTGTTTATTTTACTGTGGACAGACTTTCAGCAGAGCTGGAAACAGTTGTGAAACTTGATTTTTTACATTTTACTATACATCTTTCATATTATCAGTCTCTGTAGAAATTAGTCCTTCAAGTCTGTCCGCCCCCATGTCGGGAACGACAGTGTTGCTGACTTTCCCCACCATTAGCCAGACCGCTGTGGGGCGTTGCAGGGTCTGCCCCCGTGGCTCCCTTGAGCCTGCTTTGTCACTGCTGGGCGCACGTGGGGTCTTTCGGACGCCGGCTCGGGGTTGCCCTCGATAAAACCAAGTGTGTCTGAGATTCCTTGGCCAGGACTCCCAGGTCAGTGGTGGCTTTACAGAGCCAGATGGACAGACGTGGGCACTAACTAGCACTTCGGGGCCGGCTTTGGGAGCAGGAGCCCAGTCAGGAAGTGCACCCAGTCCAGCTGACTTCCAGGTGTGGCTCACCTTTCCAGCAGTGTGAAGCAGCCGCCCTCCTGTTCAGCCAGCAGACGAGGTATTCTGGTGTACTGCCGACCCTGCTGAGACCTGGTGCAGGCGGCCAGTCTGGGGACGGGCTTGCCCGGTGCAGCTGGTAAGGTGGCATCTGCCCCGGGGGCTCCATCTCCCGAGGGCGCCTGGCCGCCAGGCTCTGCTGGGCCAGCTGTGCGACCTTCCTCTTGAGGAGACAGGCAAACCAGGCAGCAGCCCGGAGGCCCTGGAGAGGCCAAAGTTCAGTGCCATAGGCCTTATTGGACGCAGTCGGCTCAGCTGTGGGACTGGCACTAAACTAAACGAAACCAAACACGGCGCTTGCGAGCTGGCCCCGAGGTGGGACAGGCAGCAGTCAGGAAACCGGCCTTTGCCTGGGGCCACGCCTCCTGGTGACATGGGTGCCCAGGCCCCAGCATCGCTGGGCTCTGCTCATTGGTTCACCTGTAGTCCCGTGCTGTTGACAGCCAGGAAGGTGAGCAAGATCCAGACCCCTCCGCTCACCTGATTTTCCCTCTGAATTCAGGAAAGTCAAGGGAGCAGACCTGGTGTCTGGCTTCCAGCTTCCGTTGTCAAGGCTGAGCTTGGCCCCCCGACTGGCTAGCAGGAGGGTGGGGGCTGAGTACTCACAAGCCAGGGGAACCCAGGAGAAAGCTCTCGGGTCCCTGCAGAGTGGAGGCCCTGTCAGCGGGGAGGGCCGTTTCTCAGGCTGGAGGCTTACGCGAGGGTGATGCTGGTGGCTTTGGTCTGCCCAGTCAGCCCCTGCTTTTCACCATCAGCACCTCCTTGTCTTGAGATGACCTCCTTGTCTGCATGCTCGGTGGCTCGGTGCGTGAGTCGCTCGCTGGAACCTCGCACGTGAGGCCGGGCGTGACGCCCCATCTCCAGTTACCTGAATTAATGCACACAATGCGGGAAGCATTGGACACAGGTGTGTCTTCTGTCGTGGGCAGAAACACCAGCAATGGTTGACTTTCTTTTGTGCCCTGCAGGGTGTGCCCGAGGACCTGCTGTTCTTCTACAACCACCTCAGAAAGGGCGGTGGGGTCGTCCGCGTGGACCAGAGCCTCCTCCTCTACCGCTACCACCCAAACGCTGCCACGCACTCTGTCCTCGAGTACGTAGGCCCCAAGGCTCCAGACACGGTTTGGGGGCCGGCAAGGTGCCAAGGTCGAGCATGAGGGGTCCAGGCCCAGGGTCGAGGGCGTGGGGCTGCCGAGGTCCAGGGTCGAGCATGAGGGGTCCAGGTCCAGGGTCGAGGGCGTGGGGCTGCCAAGGTCCAGGGTGGAGCATGAGGGGTCCAGGGTCGAGGGCGTGGGGCTGCCGAGGTCCAGGGTGGAGCATGAGGGGTCCAGGGTCGAGGGCGTGGGGCTGCCGAGGTCCAGGGTGGAGCATGAGGGGTCCAGGGTCGAGGGCGTGGGGCTGCCGAGGTCCAGGGTGGAGCATGAGGGGTCCAGGTCCAGGGTCGAGGGCGTGGGGCTGCCGAGGTCCAGGGTGGAGCATGAGGGGTCCAGGTCCAGGGTCGAGGGCGTGGGGCTGCCGAGGTCCAGGGTGGAGCATGAGGGGTCCAGGGTCGAGGGCGTGGGGCTGCCGAGGTCCAGGGTGGAGCATGAGGGGTCCAGGTCCAGGGTCGAGGGCGTGGGGCTGCCAAGGTCCAGGGTGGAGCATGAGGGGTCCAGGTCCAGGGTCGAGGGCGTGGGGCTGCCGAGGTCCAGGGTGGAGCATGAGGGGTCCAGGGTCGAGGGCGTGGGGCTGCCGAGGTCCAGGGTGGAGCATGAGGGGTCCAGGGTCGAGGGCGTGGGGCTGCCGAGGTCCAGGGTGGAGCATGAGGGGTCCAGGGTCGAGGGCGTGGGGCTGCCGAGGTCCAGGGTGGAGCATGAGGGGTCCAGGTCCAGGGTCGAGGGCGTGGGGCTGCCGAGGTCCAGGGTGGAGCATGAGGGGTCCAGGGTCGAGGGCGTGGGGCTGCCGAGGTCCAGGGTGGAGCATGAGGGGTCCAGGGTCGAGGGCGTGGGGCTGCCGAGGTCCAGGGTGGAGCATGAGGGGTCCAGGGTCGAGGGCGCGGGGCTGCCGAGGTCCAGGATGGAGAGTGCAGAGTTGCCGAGGTCTGAGAGGTCAGTGGGGCAGACACAGGTCACCTGGGTCAGGTCTCTACCACAAGGCAGGAAGTCTGGGAGCGTGGCCGGTGCGGGTGTGCAGAGCCTGTAGCCTTCATGGGAAGCTGTCTCAGGGCCTGTGGACGAGGTTCCTGGGACGAAGGCTGTGTGTCTGTTCGCTTTTCCACAGCGAGGTAGGCCTCATGCACATGTGCCCGGGAAGTCTTGCTCTCCACTGCTGTGAGGTGCACCAGGTCGCGTCTGACTTGGTTACTGGTGCCTCGGTGCGCCCTGTCCGTCCCCACCAAGGGGGCCTGCCCGCTCCCTCTCGCCCTCCTCTGCCACCTGCCCGGCCCCCAGGTCCCCAGTAGCTGGTGTGCGCTTGGGGCGGCAGGTGTGGAACACGGAGGCAGGTGTGTGTGCTTATTTCTTCAGCTTGAGCTGTGTGTGCATGTCGCGTGTTTCTTACCATTACAAACGGGTGACCCCTTGGTGCCTTGCGGTCGTAACACTGCTCACTTTTGGGAACGGGAAGGAAGGGTGCACATTCGTCTTTCGGAGGTGGGGTTAGCTGTGTTTCCTTGGAGGGTGTGAGACCCCTTGGGAGGTTGTGGCTTCCCAGCTGGGCAGCCTCTGTTTGGGGAGATCTGACGTCTACCTGCCCTGAGGAGTGGGGTGCCGGTTTGTGCAACGTCATCGGGGGGCCCCAGATTGACTCAGTAGGTCCTCGGACATTGGCATGTGTGTTGAAATTTAGCTGCTTTGTTTTCCAGCTTTCAGCCAAAGAACTTGATTTTGGTTATTTACTGTTAAACCTGAACTTTTATACAGTAGCTTTAGTGGAGCATCATTGTTTGGGGTTTGTTGTCATGAAGCTGACTCAGTGCGAGTGTGATTTGCACCGTGGGGTAAAGGTCTCGTCACAGGACAGAGCAGTCCCGGATGTGTGCGTGTACGTCTCATCAGTCTCCAGGCGCGTGAACAAAACCAGACAGAAGTAGACAAATTACAAATTACCTCCATAATTACAGTTGGAGGTTTTCAAGCCCATCTCAGTGCCTGAGAGAAGCAGGGGAATTCTGCAAGGTCCAGAGAACTGGAATTAACCCCTTGACCTGACTGGCATTTACAGAACATGACACTCAGCTGCAGAATACATTCCTTGAAGGTGCAAGACAGACAGCTCTGAATACATTTCAAGTGATTAAAATCATACAAGGTATGTTTTATAACCACATAGAATTAAATTAGAAGTCATTAACATATCTTAAAAATCTAAAATATTTGGAAATTAAGCAACCAAGGGGAAAAAATCACAAAGGAAATTAAAAAAATTTAATTTGATGAAATTAAAATGGTATGTCAAAATTTGTGGAATTCACTAAAGCACACAATCTGCACATTTGCAGTGAACAACTAAAAATAGCAGTTAAGAAACATGCATGATGGCATCAAACATAAAGTATTTGTGGGTAAATGTGACAAGGGGCGTGTGTCCTCTGGAAACTATGAGAAAGCGCAGAGGGAAATTAAAGAAAGCCCATAACAGGCCTGAGGGGCGCCACCTTCATGGGTTGGAAGATTTGGTGACTTTGATGTCAGTTCTCCCCAAACTGAGCTGTGGATTGAACTTCTTTGCAGAAATTGATAACCTGATTCTTAAATGCACGTGGAAAACTAAAGGACCCAGAATGGCCTCAGCAACCTTGACAAGAGTGAAATTTGAGGACTCACAGTTCCCAGGAAACACAGCAACAGCACCAAAAGAGACCAGGGAAATGGAGAATCCAGAAATACACTGAAAATTGTACAACAGATTGAGTTTCAGCAAAGTCTCCAAGGCATTTAATGGAAAAGGGAAGATATTTTCAATAAGTGGAGCCACTGGATATCCACGTGGGAAAAGAAGAAGGAAAGAACAAGAGTCGCATGCCATATAGAAACGCTCATTTTTTTTTTTAAAGATTTTATTTATTTATTTGACAGAGAGTGAGAGTAGGAACACAAGCAGGGGGAGTGGGAGAGGGAGAAGCAGGCTTCCCGCGGAGCAGGGAGCCCGATGCGGGGCTCAATCCCAGGATCCCGGGATCATGACCCGAGCCGAAGGCAGACGCTCAACGACTGAGCCACCCAGGCGCCCCATAGAAACGCTCATTTTAGTTGGATCTTTGATATAAACCTAGAAACAACTGGAATAGAAAGCTTCTAGAGGGAAACAGGGAACACCTTCACAACTTTGGGATCAGCAAAAACTTACCAGCAAGGACATGAGAATCATTAACCATTTAAAAAGTGATAAAGTGGATTTATCAAAATTAAAAACATTTATTCATAAAAAGACACCATTAAGAACATGAGTGGCAAACTGCAGACTGAATGGGGATATTCACAATCCATGTGTCTGAAGGAGAACCAAGTAAGAGGCACGTAAAGAACCCCAGCAACAAAGACAGTGTCATAACAATAGGCAAATACTTTATAATACATTTCACGAAACAATAATATGTAATATATAAATAATATAAACCCACTACACACCCAACAGGAGGGCTAAAATTAATATCTGCCAATTCCAAATGGTGGCAAGGGTGTGGATCTAGCAGAATGGTCAGACACTGTTCCCAGGACTGTAAATGGTACATCCCTCTCTGGAAAACTGGCACTTTTTTATTAAACTGATATCCCTGTGACCTAGCAATTCCATGTCTAGGTGTTTAATGCACGGGAAGTGAAAACATTGTTCAACGTATTACTATTAATATTGCCGAGAGCTGGGAACCACCCAAATGTCCATCAAGTGAATGGAGGTTGTAATGGAATGCTGCTCAGCATTAAAAGAGAGGGATGAATGCCAAAGCAGTTTGCTTACTAAAGAAGCAAGGCACAAGGGCATGCATGTTGTGGGATTCCGCTTACACGAAGCACTCCAACAGGCAGGATTCGTCTCTGCCATTCGTAATGACAGCTAGTCCATAGAGGAATTCCAGCAAGTGTGCACTAATAGAAAATTAGAACCAGTGTTGGGTGATAGAACTAGATAGAAATTAGATCTGTGAGGTGTGGGACTTCCGGGATCTCCTGCAGAGCGTGAGGTATGGGACTTCGGGGATCTCCTGCAGAGCGTGAGGTGTGGGATTTCGGGGATCTGCAGGCTGTGAGGTGTGGGACTTCGGGGATCTCCTGCAGAGCGTGAGGTGTGGGATTTCGGGGATCTGCAGGCTGTGAGGTGTGGGACTTCGGGGATCTCCTGTAGGCTGTGAGGTGTGGGACTTCTGGGATCTCCTGCAGAGCGTGAGGTGTGGGATTTTGGGGATCTGCAGGCTGTGAGGCGTGGGACTTCGGGGATCTCCTGCAGAGCGTGAGGTATGGGACTTTGGGGATCTCCTGCAGAGCGTGAGGTGTGGGATTTCGGGGATCTGCAGGCTGTGAGGCGTGGGACTTCGGGGATCTCCTGTAGGCTGTGAGGTGTGGGACTTCGGGGATCTCGCAGGCTGTGAGGTGTGAGACTTCAGGGATCTCCTGCAGAGCGTGAGATTTGGGATTTTGGGGATCTGCAGGCTGTGAGGTGTGGGACTTCGGGGATCTCCTTCAGGCTGTGAGGTGTGAGACTTTGGGGATCTCCTGCAGAGCGTGAGGTGTGGGATTTCGGGGATCTGCAGGCTGTGAGGTGTGGGACTTCGGGGATCTCCTGCAGAGCGTGAGGTGTGGGATTTCGGGGATCTGCAGGCTGTGAGGTGTGGGACTTCGGGGATCTCCTGCAGAGCGTGAGGTGTGGGATTTCGGGGATCTGCAGGCTGTGAGGTGTGGGACTTCGGGGATCTCCTGTAGGCTGTGAGGCGTGGGACTTCGGGGATCTCCTGCAGAGCGTGAGGTGTGGGATTTTGGGGATCTGCAGGCTGTGAGGCGTGGGACTTCGGGGATCTCCTGCAGAGCGTGAGGTATGGGACTTTGGGGATCTCCTGCAGAGCGTGAGGTGTGGGATTTCGGGGATCTGCAGGCTGTGAGGCGTGGGACTTCGGGGATCTCGCAGGCTGTGAGGTGTGAGACTTCAGGGATCTCCTGCAGAGCGTGAGATTTGGGATTTTGGGGATCTGCAGGCTGTGAGGTGTGGGACTTCGGGGATCTCCTTCAGGCTGTGAGGTGTGAGACTTTGGGGATCTCCTGCCGAGCGTGAGGTGTGGGACTTCGGGGATCTCCTGCAAAGCGTGAGGTGTGGGATTTCGGGGATCTGCAGGCTGTGAGGCGTGGGACTTCGGGGATCTCCTGCAGGCTGTGAGGTGTGGGACTTCGGGGATCTCCTGCAGGCTGTGAGGTGTGGGACTTCTGGGATCTCTCGCAGGCTGTGAGGTGTGGGACTTCTGGGATCTCCTGCAGGCTGTGAGGTGTGGAACTTCCGGGATCTCCTGCAGGCTGTGAGGTGTGAGACTTCGGGGATCTCCTGCAGGCTGTGAGGTGTGGGACTTCTGGGATCTCTCGCAGGCTGTGAGGTGTGGGACTTCTGGGATCTCTCGCAGGCTGTGAGGTGTGGGACTTCTGGGATCTCCTGCAGGCTGTGAGGTGTGAGACTTCAGGGATCTCCTGCAGAGCGTGAGATTTGGGATTTCGGGGATCTGCAGGCTGTGAGGTGTGGAACTTCCGGGATCTCCTTCAGGCTGTGAGGTGTGAGACTTTGGGGATCTCCTGCAGAGCGTGAGGTGTGGGATTTTGGGGATCTGCAGGCTGTGAGGCGTGGGACTTCGGGGATCTCCTGCAGAGCGTGAGGTGTGGGATTTCGGGGATCTGCAGGCTGTGAGGTGTGGGACTTCGGGGATCTCCTGCAGAGCGTGAGGTGTGGGATTTCGGGGATCTGCAGGCTGTGAGGTGTGGGACTTCGGGGATCTCCTGTAGGCTGTGAGGCGTGGGACTTCGGGGATCTCCTGCAGAGCGTGAGGTATGGGACTTTGGGGATCTCCTGCAAAGCGTGAGGTGTGGGATTTCGGGGATCTGCAGGCTGTGAGGTGTGGGACTTCGGGGATCTCCTGCAGAGCGTGAGGTGTGGGATTTCGGGGATCTGCAGGCTGTGAGGTGTGGGACTTCGGGGATCTCCTGCAGAGCGTGAGGTGTGGGATTTCGGGGATCTGCAGGCTGTGAGGTGTGGGACTTCGGGGATCTCCTGTAGGCTGTGAGGTGTGGGACTTTGGGGATCTCCTGCAGAGCGTGAGGTGTGGGATTTTGGGGATCTGCAGGCTGTGAGGCGTGGGACTTCGGGGATCTCCTGCAGAGCGTGAGGTATGGGACTTTGGGGATCTCCTGCAGAGCGTGAGGTGTGGGATTTCGGGGATCTGCAGGCTGTGAGGTGTGGGACTTCGGGGATCTCCTGCAGAGCGTGAGGTATGGGACTTTGGGGATCTCCTGCAGAGCGTGAGGTGTGGGATTTCGGGGATCTGCAGGCTGTGAGGCGTGGGACTTCGGGGATCTCCTGCAGGCTGTGAGGTGTGGGACTTCGGGGATCTCGCAGGCTGTGAGGTGTGAGACTTCAGGGATCTCCTGCAGAGCGTGAGATTTGGGATTTTGGGGATCTGCAGGCTGTGAGGTGTGGGACTTCGGGGATCTCCTTCAGGCTGTGAGGTGTGAGACTTCGGGGATCTCCTGCAGAGCGTGAGGTGTGGGACTTCGGGGATCTCCTGCAAAGCGTGAGGTGTGGGATTTCGGGGATCTGCAGGCTGTGAGGCGTGGGACTTCGGGGATCTCCTGCAGGCTGTGAGGTGTGGGACTTCGGGGATCTCCTGCAGGCTGTGAGGTGTGGGACTTCTGGGATCTCTCGCAGGCTGTGAGGTGTGGGACTTCTGGGATCTCCTGCAGGCTGTGAGGTGTGGAACTTCCGGGATCTCCTGCAGGCTGTGAGGTGTGAGACTTCGGGGATCTCCTGCAGGCTGTGAGGTGTGGGACTTCTGGGATCTCTCGCAGGCTGTGAGATGTGGGACTTCTGGGATCTCTCGCAGGCTGTGAGGTGTGGGACTTCTGGGATCTCCTGCAGGCTGTGAGGTGTGAGACTTCAGGGATCTCCTGCAGAGCGTGAGATTTGGGATTTCGGGGATCTGCAGGCTGTGAGGTGTGGAACTTCCGGGATCTCCTTCAGGCTGTGAGGTGTGAGACTTCGGGGATCTCCTGCAGGCTGTGAGGTGTGGGACTTCTGGGATCTCTCGCAGGCTGTGAGGTGTGGGACTTCTGGGATCTCCTGCAGGCTGTGAGGTGTGAGACTTCAGGGATCTCCTGCAGAGCGTGAGATTTGGGATTTCGGGGATCTGCAGGCTGTGAGGTGTGGAACTTCCGGGATCTCCTTCAGGCTGTGAGGTGTGGGACTTCGGGGATCTCCTCTGTCATCATCATCATGAATGTTCCTGTCTGTGTGTTCTCATGTTAGATTCTCTGAAGACACATTGAAGGGATCTCTCTGTAGGAATTGGTGGTGGCCCACGCTGTGGCAGAAGCCTGTGTGTCCAGGAAGGGCCAGGCCACAGGCAACTGGGCTTTGTCCCCACAAGTCCTCATCTTGTTCGCATGGGATCAGTCTCTTTTATGTTGAGCGGTTTCTTTCTTTTTTGCAGCGTGAGGCTTTGCCACCCACAACACAAAAGAAGTGATCTCATGTAGTTTCTGTACTGGATTAAAATCTTTGTGCTGTGAGTGGCAAAACCTCACAGAGTAATGAGCTTTAATTACACCTTCAGGCTTGTTGAGAATTGAATTTCTTCAAACTCTCTGCCCAGAAGCCCTCCTATGAAAGCACTCCCTGGTTGCTGTTCTTTCTATTTTAAACCAAGAACGGTCAGCATTTACATCGTTCATTATGAAATACTTAAGACATCCAGAGACAGAGACACGGAGGACCGACGTCCTGCGCCCGGCTGCCTTTCCCAGCCCCTCAGCAAGGCCAGCGCTGTCCGGGGTGTGAGCAGTGTCTCCCTGAACAATATGCATTACCTGTTTAAAAATGTCATGTCCACGGTAGCATTCTGCCTTTCTCCCCGAAAACTGCTTTTCCGTTCAGCCTCTCGGCTGCCCCTTCATGCGTGACCTCGGGGTGCTGCCTGTCTCCAGGCCACCTCCTCCCAAGGCCTTTCTGCCGTCCTGCTTGCAGAGTGGGGCTGACTCCAGCCGGGCCGGCACACCCCCCATTCTGCGTCGGGGGCCGCGGCCACCAGGGGGCACGTCTGTGGGTTTGGGGAAACCGCTCCGCTCGCTGCAGCCCCTGCTGGGGGACACTGCTGCCCTGCAGCAAGTGAGGAGACTATCGAGGAATCTTCCTGATTGGGTCAGAACTTAAAAGCACCGGGAAAGATGGCATTCCTGAGCAGGAACAGGGCCGGTGGCCGGAAGTGCTTTGCGGCCCACAAAGCAGGTGTGTTTGTGGCCATCTCTAAATTGTGTCGGCTCATCATCTACCAGTGTCTGCAGAGCAGGCCCCGCACCCCCCAGCGGGCGCCTGAGCTCCTGGGGTCTGGACTGGGGCCCGCCTTTCCCTTGGTCACGTCCACAGACCCCTTGAGACATCGTGATGGGCATTTCCTTCAATCTGCACCTCACACTGAGGAGCACGGACTGTTTAAAGAGAAGGAATACTCGAGAAGTGTCCCGACCCTGTGCTGACAGAACTCCACCAGGGCTGGGGACAGGAGAGGAAGCCGCTGCTGAGCCATGCACATCCGTCTACTGGTGGGGACCCCACACAGTGCTTCCTGACATGGGCTGTCCCGGCACGTCCTCCACCTGAAAGGCGAAAACCGTCAGCAGTGACTCTCTGAAGCTCCCTGTCCTTCGTCGTCCTCAGGATTTCCCGTTTACCAGAACTCACGTGCACATCCCTGGTCTTTCGTTGCTAAACTTCCGCTTCTTGGGTGTTGCCAGAGTTGCGCGTGCCTGGCCGTGGGCTGGACCGTCTGGAGCTTGTGGAATGCTCTGGAAGCGCTAACGGCCGGGGTCGGGGAGCTACTCCCCGCCAGCCCCGGTGCGCCCACGGCCCAGCCGTCAGAACTCCCGGCGGTCTGGGCAGCTGCTGCAGGAAGCGGAGCCGTGAGACCTCGCACCCGAGCTCACCAGACGTCGGGGTGACTGCATCGCCCTCAGGCTCCCCAGGGTCTGTGCCTGGCATCCCTCAAGGCCTCTGAGTACATGGACGTGAGAAGAGCACATCCTAGGGTCCACGTGGGGCTGTGAGGGTTGGTGAGGCAGTGCGAGCACAGTTCGTTTGTTCGTTCCCTCATTCATCTATCAAGCCAGTACCTCGTGAGCTGTGGAGAGAGGAGGTCCCCAGAACGTGCCCTGCTGTGCCCAGGGCTGGATGGGGAGGGAGGTCTGGGCGCAGCTAGAGGCCCTGCCCACCTGGTTCACCGCCCCATCCCCCCCCCCCCAGGACCACCATCTGGACCCACCGTGTCCGCTTCCTGGAAGAACGGGTCCTGCCGCACTGGGCAGCTTTCACCATCTGGAACGCGGGCAGGCAGGGCCGCCGGCTTTACCGCAGCCTGACGGCCGGGACACGACGCAAGGTGGGCCCCCCTCCATCCAGCCCAGCAGCTCTGTCCCCCCGGGCCCCCCGTCCCTGAGGCTGGTGTCCTGTGCCCCCCCTCCCCCCGCAGGTGGTTGCCTTCTGTGACGTGGACGAGAACAAGATCAGGAAAGGCTTCTATTGCCATGAGGACTCTCAGGTGGGTGAGACCCAGGACCCCAGGGAGGGCCTCGGTCCCACATGGGTTGCTCACACCACCCCTAGCTCTGTCCCAGGGGACAAGGAGGGGCCACTGCCCAGAACCTTCCTCCTTGGGGAAGGCTGCCTGTGCCTGGACAGCTGCAGGCCCAGCAGCAGTGGCCCCCATCTCCTGGGGGTCTCGGGCCCCAGAGTGGCCTGTGTCCCCTCCTGGCCCAGGTCTGGGCATCTGCCGTGCACCTCGGAGCTGGGCAGGGGTGAGGGGTCGGTCCAGCACGGCAGGGCGTCCCGTGGGACTAGCATGGACCCCAGCCCACAACACCTTTGTTTCTCAGGAAAGGCCTAAGCCTCGGGTTCCAATCCTGCACTTCCGAGCTGCCCGGCCACCCTTCGTCATCTGCGTGAAGCTGGTAAGTGTCAGCCATGGCCGTGGCGGGGGTCACATGACCGTGTGGCTGGTACAAGCCCCAGTTGCGGGATCACAGACGTCTGACATGCAGCCAGACATCCATGCCCTTGCCTTGGGCCACCTGTCTCAAGCTGTACACTAGGACGGGAGGCTGCCCAGGATGTTGGAAGAGGCCACCATGGTGGGCTGCATTTCTGTAAGAGCAGCTTTTTTCGGAAACTTGCTAAGTGCCAGACGTGGGGCTCATTCCGGGGCCTCATCAGGTGCTCTGGCAGAGACGAGGGGCTGTGGGCAGTAAAAGCGTCGCTGAGAAGCACCTCTGACCAAGCCCCGCGGCCTCCGCCCCCAGGGCTGTCCGGAGACTTTCCCCCCATATCCTTGCCTTTTCCCTTGAGGTCACGGGCACGGGCGCTGGGCTGTGCTGCGCCCGCCTCTCAGCTCCATTGGGGTCACACGGCGTGAGGCCTGGGGCATGAGGCCGGGCTGCTTGCCCGTGTCAGGCTGGCCTGTGTGGCCGGATGACTGAATTCCTCATTCCCGACTAACATCCCACATCTGACCGCGGGCCTGGTCATTTCCGGCCTTGCGACAGGGCACAGCTGTGACGTTCCTGTGACTTTGGAGCAGGTGTGAAGGGTCTCGGAAGGTGCCCTCCATGCACACGTCTTCGTGAGGCCACGCGAGGGCTTGTCCCAGCCTATCCTGCCGGACAAGGGCTCAGTTGGGCGGTGCCCTCGGGCGCCTCTGGCCTTGTAATTTCCAGGAGCTCTGCACACTCTGGTGCCAGTCCTTCCTCGGTTGGAGTGGCAAATACTTCTTCCCACGTGAGACTTGCCTCTTCACAGGTTCTTCCAGAAAAAGCTTTTTTTTAAGATTGATTTTATTTATTTGAGAGAGTGAGTGAGCACAAGCAGGGGGAGTGGCAGAGGGAGAAGCAGGCTTCCCGCTGAGCAGGGAGCCCGACGGGCTCGATCCCAGGACCCTGGGATCATGACCTGAGCCGAAGGCAGACGCTCAGCGACTGAGCCACCCAGGCGTCCCAGATAAAGTTACTTTTAACGCAGCGGCGTTCATCAACCTTTTCCTTACGATGAACACTTTTAGTGTCCTGTTTAGGAAATCGTTCTTCATGGTCAGAAAGACATATTCTCGTGTACACACACATACAAATGTAAAGTGTCATCTTTTACTTTGGAGTCCCAGCTACGGGGCCAGTTTGGCTCAGCCCTGCCCCAGTAGGTCCCCCAGAGGGGATGGGGGCTGATGGGTGGCAAGGGCCCTGTGCTTTCTGCTGGGGGTCGTGGGGGACACATGCGGCCACTTCACCAGCTTCCAACCGTGAGATTGGGCTGGAACCTCAGTCACCAGACACCAGAAGCCTTCATGGAGGCGGCAGCTTTTGCAGAAGGGAGGCAGAGTCTGTCAACATCAGGGAGGAGACCCGCAGGACACGCCTGCCCACCCCTGCGTCCAGCCTTGGGCTCAGGGACATACGCCTGCACACAGCAGGACTAGAACAAACCTGTGGAGGGAGGCAGGGAGGGGAGCATCCGTCTTCATTGGTGGCTGGTTAAGACCCCAACCTCTTTGGCATTGACTGGACTTTACTGAGCTGCCCACCATGTCTGTGCAGGGTGCCAGGCAGGACGGTGCCCCCACGGAGGGCGACCCCGCCAGGCTGTGACCCCAGAACGCGGACGTTGGTCTGGCAGGGGCAGTGGCCCGAGAAGGGCCCCAGGCGGGGCAGGAGGCGCGGCTTCGAGAGGCTGGACTCTGCCCTTTGCTATGGGGCCTCTTTGGGGAAGCCCCCCAACTGTGGAAGAGGCTGTCCGGACTGGCCGTGAGGCAGACTCACTCAGGGCCCCTGGGCCACGGCCGGGCCCGCAATCCAGCCCCGTGGAACCGTGAGACGCTGACACGTGTCATCCCAGGCTGCTCCCCTGGCGGGGGCTCATTCCACAGCAGCAGGTGACCAACTTCTAAGGCCCATGGTGGCGAAACTGTCAGAAAAGAACAAGCCAGCCGGGCGGTTAGAGCAGTGCGGCCTTGAGCGTTCATGTGTAGCTCCGTGTGAACGTGTGCCCGGGAGAGGACGTGCAGGGTCACAGGGTAGCCACGTTTTGGGAACCACCAGTTTTCCACAATGGTTGCACCAATTTACACTCCCACCCACCGGGCAAGGGCACCAGCATCTCCACACGTAGTCACTCGTTGAGGTGATGATGCTGCGTTTCCCTAACACCCAGCGACGCTGGGGATCCTTTCATCTGCTTGTTGGCCACGTGGGTATCGTCTTTGGAGAAATGTCTGTGCAGGTCCTTTGCCCGTTTTTTATCTGGGTTTTGTCTCATGAAGCCCTAACAGTTCTTTGTATGTTCTAGACGTGGTGCAAACACCTCCCGTTCTGCACGTTCTGTCTTCACTTTCTTGATGGGGTCCTTTGACGTACAAAGTATTTCATTTTGATAAAGTCCAATTTATCTGGTTTTAACTTGGGTGCTCATGTTTTCAGTGCTGTAGCTAAGACACCATCGCCAAATCCAGGACCACAAACATGTACCCCCATGCTTCCTTTGAAGATTTCGCAGTCCCGGCTCTGGGTTAGCGTGTGGCGTGTGGGAGGCGGCCAGCCCCGTTCTTGAGCTCGTAGCTGTCCGGGCACCGCGCGGCCAGGGCAGCTCCTGTCCCAGACGTCACCTTGAAGTTGTGTTCTGCTTGAACCGCCACGTAATAAATTACCATGAGCTAGCCTCATACAATACACACTTTTTTAGATTTTTAAATTTATTTATTTGAGAGAGAGAGCGCACACATGGTGGGGGCAGGGGGAGAGAATCTCAGGCTCCCCGCTGAGCAGGGAGTCCTACACGGGGCTCAGTCCCACGACCCTGAGATCATGACCTGAGCCAAAACCAAGAGGAGGACTCTTAACCAACTGAGCCACCCAGGCGTGCCACCGTTTCTTACCTCACAGTTGCTGTGGTTCAGAAATCCAGACGCCACCGGCGGGGCCTCAGGGCCCCTCATGAAGCTGCTGGTGAGGTGCCAGCCACGACACGGTCGCGTGGGGAGGCTCGCCTCGAGCAGCGTCTGCCTCCGTGTTGTCATGGCAGTTGGCCGAAGCCGGACCCTTAGGGTGTTGGACCGAGGGCTTTAGTTCTTTGCTGGATGTTCCTTGCCGTGTGGCCCCCTCTACCTGGCAGCATATGCTCTCGAAGCCGGCAAGGGGCAGGGTCTGCTAGCGAGACAGAAGACGCGATAATGTGTCACCAAATCACAGAAGTGGCCTCCCACCCCTTCCTTGGCTGTGTGCCGTGGCCAGTCCCGTCTGCGCTGCAGGGGAGGGGGTGACATGGACCCACCTGTCTACCTCTCTGCAGCATGTGCCCACCTGACTGGGTTTTCTAGTGTGAAAGCAGTTTCCTAACAAGCCTGTTTAAAGCCAAGATAAGCGCACGGTTCCAAGTTGCCAGGGAAACTGGACAATAACTATGAGGCCACATGGAAAATTTAAAATGAAAATTTAAAGTCTGTACAAATTATATATAATTTCTCAGAGATGAGCTCAGTTAAGGGCCTATTTCTCTGGGACCAAAACCTGCCAGGAACTAGAACCCTTGCCCCCGTGCAAACCTTCCTGGAGGGCAGGCTTTGGGTGGGAAGTGAGCTTCCTTTCCCGTCACCCACTATATCCCCGGAGAGGTGCCTGCAGGCACCTGTTTTTCGAATATTCTGCCAAAATTAGCCAACACAAACGTAAGTGTTTGCATGGTTTTTTAAACCAATGGCAGCATAGTATACATATCTTTTCTGTGTTTTGCTTTTTTTTTTTTACGTAATACATTTTGCAGATTATTCCGTATAAACCCACTGGTGCCATCTGAGTCTCCTGTCGTCTTTTAATTGAGCAGGAAGCTTTCATCGTGTCATGTGGCCATCCCCATGCGGCGTGTCCCCGTGCAAACCGTCCCCATGTCCCCGTGCCTATAAGCGAGGGGCAGGAAGGGGTCTGTTGACATTTCTTTGAGTCTGGGTTTAGACCCCTGCAAAGGGGGGCAGGGGTGTCATGGGGGCCCCAGGACGAGGCACAAAGAGCAAAGCTGGTGTGCCCAGGACAGATGGGTGAAGCAGAGCTGCCCGTGGGGGTCATTTCCTTCCCTTAGTCCCTGTGTCAGCTACCTTTTGCAGGGAGGGACCAAGTTTGAGCTGGGGGGTGTGTATGCCTCAGGGGACCCCCCCCACCCCTCCCTCCCACTGAAGACCAGCAGAACATTGTGGCCAACTTCTCACAATGTTCCCCCCCCCCCATCTCCAGCCCCTCTCAAGAGAGAAGTTCATTGTGGACCACGTAACAGGTGGCCACAGGCGACCACCCCAGGCCCCCTTGGGAGGGCCTCTGGGGGTCCCAGTGTGGGCTGGGGGAGGCTTGGATCAAGCCAGACATGCTGTTCCTCCCACAGGACCTCACCGGGGGTGCATTTGAAGACAACCTGAGGTCACTGCACCTGCAGGAAGGCCGGGACTTCCTTCACTTCAGCTGATGGGCCCACGGCAGCTGCCCCCAGGTACGTGGGATTGAGGGTGCTAAGGAGGGGTGGTCCACGGCCCTGAGGGGGAGCATGCGAGATGGGAGGTGTACCAAATGCCCAGCAAGCCCCCTTCCTTACGGGGCTGGCCCTTCACCTGCAGGGCGTGTGTGTGTGTTTTTAACCAGGACGTGGTTTACACGCAGCAAAAGGCAGAGCCGTGAGCCCACAGCCTGAGGGGTGTGTGTCCCTGACCGTCCCCTGCCCTGGGGGCACCGCCACCGCCCAGCGCATGGCGTCTGTCATGCCAGGAGCTTGTTAGCTCACGCTCCTGACAGACACCTGTGACGCGAGGACGACAGCTGCTGGGTGCTCGGGTCCCGCCATGGTGGACGTCTGATTCTGTCGATGTTGGGCAAACCCGGGGCCCAGTTCCTGGGTCTGACTTGGTTCGCGATGTGGAAGTACAGACCGGCGACTGAGGACGGAGGCTGTGTGCTCTGAGCTGGCAGGGCAGGCATCAGCCGGTCCCATGAGGATGGCAGAGGCTTGAGGGCGTGGGAAAGGGGGCTCCGGGGCCCCAGTGCCGTCCTCGCGGTTGGTCAGGGTAACATGTCTGGCCCCCTCTGGTGGGTCCCCGGTTGTGGGAGGGGTGAGTCAGGGAAGCCGGCAGTTATCGACGGTGTCCTGGCTGTTTCCGGCTGCTGGCTACGGGTTACTCCTTGGCTTCCTGAACTGGCCGCTGCGGGCAGTGGGCAGGGCGTCGTGTTTGCGGGTGTTCTGGCACCTTGAGTCTCCCAGGCCTGGGAAACCCAGTGCTCAACCCGGCCGAGAGCAAACGCCGTCAGCCGTGAGCGACCGCGGGTGATGTGGAGCCGGCTCGGCTTTGCCTGTCTCAGGACCCAAGCAACAAGGCCACTGATGACGCTGTGTCCTTAGGGATTTGTGCCGGAGGCAGGGGTGACCCTGCTGGCAGGAACCCTGTGGTAAGGGCTCGAACGAACAAGGCAGGGATCCCGAGTGGGCTCCAGGAACCCGGAGCGGCCTCATGGTGGGGCTCGCGGGAGTCAGAATGAGAAGCCGGGGCTGCGTTCCGAGTGATGGTGCAGGAGGAGCTGCTGCGAGGCAGGAGGACCCGGCATCCTGCTTCACACTCAGCACCTCTTACAGACACCTTTGTTTTTATACTGAATACTTCCTGCCACTCTTGTCCGTTTTGCAGATCCTGCTTGCTTCAGACACTGCTCATCCTGTGTGCCCGCTGCGTGCTCCTGTTTGCTCAGCATACCCCCTGGGAGCTGCTCAGCCGGGACCATTTCCCACCCACACTTCATTCACCAGAGCAGTGTCTCCCACTGGGGCTGAACCCACCCCCAAAATCTAGCAACATCTGGCGGTAGTTTTGTTGTGCGAGTGGGGAAGGGGCTTTGCTACTGGCATCTGGGATGTTGCTAAAGACTAGCTCAGCGGCGCCTAAGCGGTGCCGTCGGTTGAACGTCCGACTCTTGGCTTCAGCTCAGGTCATAATCTCTGGATGGTGAGACTGAGCCCCACGTCGGGCTCTGTGCTCAGCATGGAGTCTACTTGAGATTCTCTCCCCCTCTGCCCCTCCCGCTCCAAAAAAACCTGGAATTACTCAGCCCCAAGTGCCAACAGTGCTGAGGCTAAAAACCTAGCTATGCGTTCGAGGCCTGTGTCATCTGGATGTGATTCTTCGGTGATGGTTTTCCCACGTATGCGGTTCTGCCCCGTGGACCGTTCCTTTCCCTCGCACAGCGGGGGCCCCTGCGGTTAGGGGGTGGGCAGCGCTGCGGCCGCACGTGCGGGGTGTGCTCCTACCCCCGCGAGGGGTCTGCAGGCTCCAGCATCTGGGGACGAGCCCCCGTGACTCTCTGTACACACCAGTCAAATTTTCTGCAATCTCTCCTGTTTTTCTGGATAATTTCTTCAGCTGTGTCTAGTTGGCTGTTTCAGTCCATCCAGGGAGCTTTTCCCCCCAATCTCTTGATAATTTCTAGCCCTTTCAAAAACAGATGTCCTATTTTGTGGCTGGTATTACCAACATCTCAGTCTTTTGGTGTCTGCTTCCATTAAGTCTTGCTAATAATTCCGTTTGTGTATTTTGTGACCCTTCTGGAGCGTGGGTTTGGGTTCTTTCCATTCTGCCCATAGAGATGAGCCCGCACACTTTCAGGGAGGTTTCTGCCTCTTCTGCCCTCTGTCTGGGAGCACCACTGGTTGGGGCGGCAGTTTGAGCACATTTTCGGGTTAGTTTTGAGAACTGCACAGGGTCCTCCAGGCGTACTCCAGGAGACGCCTTCCCCAGCCCAGCTCCAGGGGAGATAGTGACGAGGTGCCGTCCCCTCGTTCTCATCCGCGCTGCTAGGGCGCAGCCACCCAGGGCCCCAGCTCCGCATGGGCCTTATGTCCTACCCCCACGCTGCCACCGAGATGAGACTGCCCTACGTGTCTCAGGCTCGACAGACACGATGCTCAGGACCCAGTGCCTGCTCACGGAGAGGTTCGGTTTTGTGCCGTGCACGTGGCCCCTCCCAGCTCCCTGCGCACATTCTGTTCCAGGCACACTGGCTTCTTGCTCCTCCTCAAACTCACCGAGCTCTTTCCTTTCTGGAGCCACAAGGTGCTCTTCTCTGTCTGGTGCCCACCTACTGCACGGCCCCTCCACGGCAGCCCCACACGCTGCCCACTGCATGTTGCCCCCAGGCACTGGTTGTGCTAACAGGTCTGCTCCTGGCTACACTCTGTGAGTGTGTGGGGCTCCTCTCACCTAGATCTACCACCTGGGCCCGGGGGGCCCTCCGGGAACTGCAGCTGCAACCTGGTCAGAGCGAGGGTGACCCACAGGAGCTGACGTGGCTGAGGGCGAGCAGAGGCGCGGGGCCGTGTGCAGCCAGCGGGTCAGGGTGGTTCCGCTCGGGCTGCAGTCAGGCCGGCAGTGGTGAGGGAGAGCTATGCAGTACAGCGTTGGGTCTGTGGTGAGCTCGCCCAGCTCCAGGTCTCCAAAAGGGCTTCTCTGGAATCTGGTGGATTTTTATTATTTATTTTTTTAAAGATTTTATTTATTTGACAGAGACACAGCGAGAGAGGGAACACAGCAGGGGGAGTGGGAGAGGGAGAAGCAGGCTTCCCGCGGAGCAGGGAGCCCGATGCGGGGCTCGATCCCAGGACCCCGGGATCATGGCCTGAGCCGAAGGCAGACACTTAACAATTGAGCCACCCAGGTGCCCTTGACTTTCATTTTCTTTCCTTTATTTTTTTTAAGTACTAGATCTTATTTTTAATTTTTTTTTTAAGATTTTATTTATTTATTTGACAGAGAGCCACAGCGAGAGAGGGAACACAAGCAGGGGGAGTGGGAGAGGGAGAAGCGGGCTTCCCGCTGAGCAGGGAGCCCGATGCGGGGCTCGATCCCAGGACCCCAGGATCACGACCTGAGCCAAAGGCACTCAACCGACTGAGCCACCCAGGCGCCCCTGAATCTTGTGGATTTTTAAAAAGACACTAAAAACAGTTCATTGTATTGCTTCTCAGAAGCGGCTTGCTTGGCTTTCTGCAGCTAAGGTCCAGACACTGCTCTGCGGGTACCGTCCCCCCCCCCCCCCCCCCCCCGTCCTCTGGGACCCTGGTGTATGACCCCCGCCAGCCGAGGGATCTCTGACTAGTCTTCCATCTAAAATGGAGAGCTCCCTATTTATTTTTGAGAGGGGAGCATGTTTTAAGGTTTGAATAAAATGTAAGTTAATCCACAAAGTAACACCAGACTTTCTCTTTCAGGGGGTCTGAGAGGAGGCATAGCCCATGGAAGGTAAACGCTCCCACAAGTCAGCAGCTTAGCCCAGGCAAGGAAACCGCTCCCTGTGAAGGAAGCAGCAGCCAGAGCCTGCCAGGACCCATCGGCTCCCTCAGCCCCCACTGCCACACGCACCGTGGGGGCAGCTCGTTCCCCAGCCCAGACACCGTCCGTCCTCAGTTCATGGCCCCAACCACAGCACGGCCACCACCTTCGCCTCAGATGTGCCCGTGACGCCGCGGTCCGGGCCTCAGCCCGCGAGACAGCATACAGGGCGTGGCCACGTGAGCCCTGAGGTGGCGAACCTTCGTGCACGTCAGCCTTGGTGGCCTTTAGGTTAGGTCTGCTCGGGGCAGTTAGAAAGAGGCAGTGTTTCGGGAACGAAGGAACCAACTGTGGAACTTCCCACATGGCTCCAGAGAACCCAATATCCTAGAAGACCATCCGCCCGTGGCAGATGCTGGGTACCCACACACCTACCTCTCTAGCTACCACGAGCCTCTCCTGTGGGGTCACAGCCCGTCTCAGGCAGGATTCTTTGGTTGCACAAAACTGAGGGGTTGGTGGCCACGGGCAATGCCCACGTGTGGTGGGCACGACAACGGGGCCGGGGGGGAGGGGAGGGGGGGAACTTGGGACCTGGGCCTGGTCGCCCGGGGCCACCCCCTGCACCCCTCCGAATCAGTGTCAGAGACAGAGACACAGAACTGCTTAGGATACGATTTTATAGACGGGGGTTCCCAAGGACATGAAGACAAAAGCACCAACACCCCAGGACACGTGTGAGGAAAAGCCACTGCTGTGGGGACGATCTCCAAGTCCCTCAGCGCCGCGTCCAGATGTCTCGTGCTGACCATCGTCGGGCTCCTCCTCTCTGCTGGGTGGGCGGGGGGGCCTCAGCAGGTGCCAGGCTGTGGGGGACACAGCACAAGGTCAGTACCGCCCCCCCGAGCCCCGTGGCCGACACGACCCGGGGAGCAGCAGGGAGGTCCCCGGTACCCCACCCCCCATTTTCATCTACCCGTGCATCAGATTTTCCTGATAAAAGCATACACGGCACGTTTAGTTGGAAAGCCCATGTTGCGCTTGGCCTGCCGTCCCCACTCCTCACGGTGCCACCCGGGGGACCCGAGAGAAGACAGGCACAGCCACCACAACATGCGGAACCAGGGGGGAGCAGGAAAACCATCCCAGAAATAACAGTGTGATTCCAGGTGCCCGGAGGACGGAAGACTGAAGAGCTGACAGGACGCAGGAAAGAGGCTGCTCGGAAGGCTGGCAGGGGGTCACGTGCTGGGACGGCGGCTGGTGCCACCCTCCCTTCACGCCGCCGGGCACCCGCGGTCCTCACTGGAAGACCCACCCGCAGGAAAACTGAGATCAGACAAGAATCAAAGATGGCAGCCGTAAACCCAACTGAATCGTAATCACACGGTAAGTAGGAGGACACAAAACACTCCAACGAGTTGATAATTAAAGTAGATTAAAAACAGATAAGACCTAATTATCATTTATAAGCAGTCCACTTAAATGTAAGAAAACACAGAAAGGAAAACGTGTAAACGACAACCAAAAATCCAGTGTGGCCGCTTTGCCATCAGACAAAGCAGACTGGAGGGCACAGAGCATTCTTACAGGCAGCGTATTTCCAAGTGATGGTCAGGTCACCAAGACGGTGGCATAAACTTAAGCCCACGGGCACCCAGTGCCGTCACTTGCGACATACCGCAACGCCGAGACGTCAGAACAAGGAGCGGGCAGGCAGGTTTGGGAAGCCCTAAGGGCATTCGGGGAACAGCCGCATGTTCGCAGCCTCACCAGAGTGGAGCCCCCCTAACGCGGAGATGGACAAATGCAGACTTGGCCTGGAGCAGAGGCTGCTGAGCTCACCGCAGAGCGGAAGGCACGCCTGAGTGCCAACTCGACAAGCTGCCGGAGGCAGGTGTGAGCTAGCAGGAGGGCAAGACTCTGGGGGTGCCATCTCGGGGGGAGCCCGCAGGTTCACCTGGTCATAAACCTGGAAAGCCCCCTGCACTCTGGCAGCTGACTGCTGTGAGTCGCACCTGGGCGTCTCCAGCACGAGGGTCTCCTGTCCAGGGGACAGGCCTGAGCCCATGATACCTACAGGGGAACGGCAGGGAGCCCAAGGCTGAGGTTTGCTCAGATGACTGCAAACTGCCCCACATCCTGCCACCTCTCCAGCAGGACTCCAGGGTCATGGCCATGGGTCCGCTCTCAAAGAGCACCCAGACCAGCACCCCTCGGAGGGGGACAGTGCAGGGACGCCCCAGGCAAGGGCACGACGTGCTGGAGAAGTTCAAAGGTCTGGAGGCTGCTGCAGTTCCAAACACACAGGGGCCCCTGCCAGACAAACAGACCTTCACAGGCCTGAGGCCCAGCTGCCTCAGTTCCTGCTACCGGCACAACATGTCTGGCTTTCAAGAAAAACTTACAAAATGTGCTAAGAGGCAAGAAAAAGCAGTTGGGAGAGATGGTACCAAAACCAGACTCAGACGTGCAGAGTTGGAATGACCAGAGGGGTTTAAAACAACTCTCGTTAATGTGCCAGGAGCTCTGATGGGGAAAGTGGGTGCCACCAAGGACAGACGGGCAGTGAAAGCAGAGGCAGAAAGTCTAAGGAAGAGTCAAAGGAAATGCCAGAAATCACACAGTAACAGAAATGAAGACTAGACATCATCAGGGAAAGAATCCGTCAACCTGAAGATTGGTCAATAGAAACTTCCCAAATCGAAATGCCAAGAGAGAAAAGAAAGGAAAAATGAACAATTCCAAGAGCTGGAACAGTGTGGCATCCCTTCTCCAATCCATAAAGCACAAAGCGCTCCTGAGTGCTCAAGGCTGCAAGCCTCAGCATCACAGACATCGGTCCTTGCCAGGTGGACCCGCAGGCTCCAAGCCACCCTCGGCCAAATGCCTGGCTGGTTCCATGGTGCAAACTGACGAGACTATTCTGCAGGGGTTTCTGAAACCCTAAGGGCCAAGAGTCAAGATGGTCTTAGGAAAATAAAACTGGAGATGGAGTCACGTGAGCACCACGACATCCCACAAGACCCGCCTGTGTCTGGCTTACAGGGGACCCAAGAGGAGAGCCCCACGTGTGGCCCAACTTTGGCCAGGATGGAGCTGCAGGGACTGCGCACGGAAGACGCATCTGCTGGCCTTTCCCCAGCACCACATGCAAACGCCAGTCCAGAGTAGCCTCAAATCTAAATGTAGGAGACGAAACAATAAAGCTTTAAGAAACACGGAGGAGACACAACCTTAGAATCGGTAAGGACCTTAAACAGGCCCATGAAACAGAACAGAAAGGGAAAAAAGGGTAAGTTGGAACCCATGAAACCTAAGGATGAGAAAGCTGCCCCCAGAGGGGGAGAGCCTGCAGACGCAGGTCCAGAGCCCATATGCATCAGACAGCCCAGAAAAAGCACAGAAGGGGACGCACACGCCAACAACCACAACGCACAGCACATGCAGTGCAAGCACGTTCTGGAACCTGCCCGCCAGCACCTGGGCAGCAACCCTCCAGCCCAGCAGCAGCAGCCAGCCCAGGAGGCTCCACCCTTGAGCCAGGTGCTCGTCCCTCGTGTGCGCAGAGCTGGACAGCGCTCACTTCTGTATGGATGTTCTTGCTCAGTAAAAGCTCAAAAGCAGTCAGGGATCCAACCCAGGTCCAGGGGAATATGGCCAGCGAGGCAGATGAGGAGCGCCGTGGGGCCGAGGAACCGCCTCCGAGCCCAGCATTCAGAGAACACACGGCTGTGCCCTGCACTGGAGCTCCAGTGGAGCCCACAGCGTGAGTCCACCCTGATCCCCTGCAAGCACACACGCAAGAGCCTAAAATCTACCAACAGCCACGCAGAACCTGGAAGGACAGCTCGGGGCCCTGCGAGCTCAGAAAACTGCATCTATGTGCACACACCAACACCGTGGAAAAGACTAACACCTCACTGGGCAGCCCTGGAGACTCGGGGGGTGACAAAGTCCCCGGAGAGGACGAGTGTCCGGGGAGATGGTGATGGTGGAAACCAGACAGCGGCACTGAGGACCTCTTGTGAGAGGAGCGAGCTCGGTTGCTGCCAACTCCGCTGAGGTCTGGCAGCACAGGACAGCCACCTGCCAGGCAGAGGGCCTGTCCTGGATGTCGTGCCCACAGGACACACCTGACACGTGCCTGGTGGGGACAAGGCAGGCGGGAGCCTTTGAGGAGGAGCCGGCAAAGCACGCGAGGGGCTGGCGGGGTGGGGAAACACCGCCGGTCAGTACAACCCAGAACGTTCCAGACTCAAGCTCAGAATGGTGGCTCGCGTGGGAAGGGCCCCCGGGTCTCACAGGGCCGAGGGCCATGCGGTTGGTTACCTTGGGGACCAGCTGAGGTCTGGGCACGCCAAGGAGGTCACACAGGCGGTTCCGCTGGCCTCTCACGAGCGGGAGCTCCGCGTCCCTGGGGAAGAGAGGGCAAGAGCAGCTTCAGCAGCGGGGACGGTCGGCTTGCAGTTAAGCCTGTCGTGAGCCATAAACTCGCAGGCAACTGCCTGCTGGGTGCGCAGAACCCCAGCATCTTAGTTTCCGCGGTGGTGGGACCAGGGAAAACGGCACCAGGAAAACCCTCGCTCGGGTGTGGGTGATACACAGCCCTTGCTCCTGGCACCCTTCTGGGGAAACTATGGAGGAGGAGCCCCCAAAAGGGGGTGCCCCACAGGGAGGCGTGGCCCCAGACAGGTGGCCCCCAGACTTCCAGAAATGCTGAGACTTGGAAAGGTGGGGTAGGTGGGTTTTTAAAGTTTTATTTGACCCCCTGAAAGCTGTTTATCCCTTTCATAAAAATAAAGATTAAATTATCTTTTTCTTTTAGAATAAAAAAACAAATTACTGTAAAATCCTTTGGCATTTCCTTCAACAGAAAGTGACTGGGTTGTGGGGAAAGAGCCCTGTGCGCCCCACGTGGGGAGGAAGGAGTAACCGGGCGCTTCAGCACCAGGCCCCCCTTCCAGGCTGTCTTAGAATCGCATCTGCTAGATGCCTTTGTGTTTGTGAAGTTGACCGCATGGCCACGCACGCCGCAGGAAGAACCACGACTCTCTCCACAGACGCCGAAGAGAGCGGGCCCTGGGGAACGGGGTCGGGTCAGCAGCCCATTGCTCAGAGAGCGGGGGCACCCATGTTTTCTGTTCTGGAACTTTCATGAGCGGCTCCCGCAAAGGCGTTCACTGAACTCCCTCATCCCCGAGATAAATGTCTCCCTGAGAACCCTGAGGAAGCCCTAGAACTAAAGGCCCTTTTCTGTCCACACCCCAGCCAGGGAGCCGGCCCCTGAGGCTCTGTGCACAGCTCAGCCCTCTTAGGAACATCACAATCTCGAGGGAAACGCACATAAACACGTACGCGTGTCCTCGCCTGCTGATGTGAGCGCGGGGACCCTAACAGAGCCCAGTCCGCCATCGGCACAAAGGCCCCTTACCACTGGTGCCTCCAGGGGCCACCTCCTGACCTCTCCAAGATGGGTGGGGAGGGTACGGGAGGGGTCGCCTTGTAGGGGTGCACCCACAGCTGAGCGTGTGCCTGGACCGTAGTGGGTATCCCCCATGTGTCTGTTGGGACTCGTTATCCGGTGCGCCCCAGGCTATACCCTCCTGCTCTCAGACACGCTGCCCGTGTGCCCTCCTCCATTAGCCCTGGCCCCCATTCCTCACACGTCTTCAACCCTGCCGTCCCAACGCGTCAAGTCTAAAAGCCGACAGACACCACAGGACGCTGCACCGGAAACAAGTCTGGGGCCCAGCTCTGCCTTGAGGGACCTAGGAGAAGCCAATGGCTCTGGGTGCCCCAGGAAAGAACTGGATGTCGAGGACAGGGGGCACCTGTTCCACCCTTCCTGATGTCCCACCACGGCCTCCCGCCATGGCCACCATGCGAGCGCGTCCCCGCAGAGGGTAAACGGCCTCCTGCACCACTCCCTTCTTGGCACTCCTAACACTGCCATTCAGGGGCAGGGGAGCCATTCCTGAAGTGACCCCATCAGCACCGAGAGCCTGCGATGCTATTAAGTCAACGAAAGCAGCCCAACGAGAGAAACACCATCAGTGGTCAGTACCACCCACCTTTGCACTCTGAACATCTTCCCACCTGAACAGGAGGCGCCCCCTCCCTGCCCTGTGTCCAGGGGGCCTGCCCAGCCCCTTGGGTATCAGTGGGGACCTGTGGGCAGACACAAGGTCACCACCTCCTCAGAGCAGAGGCGTCGAGGGCCGGGACCCCTGCTTTCCCTGTCGCTTCAGAGGGTTTGTGGGGGAGGCCTCAGGGACAGGAAGGGAGATTCTGAACATCCCCATTCACCGAGATGCCGCCCCTAACCCGGCAGGAAGACAGGAAGGGGCCTCGCACTCACCAGGCCGTGGTGCCCAGCACAGTCATGACCTCATCAAGGACGTCCTCACTCATGATGTCACCGTAGGTGAGCAGCATCTCGTACACCTGGCTAGCCGTGGTCTTCCGGATCTGGGCAGGATGGAGCACGTCAACAGGAGGAAAAGACCCATGAGAACCCAGAGTGACAGGACCCTGACCAGGGAGCCAACCCCGGGTCCAAATGGAACCTGAGACCTGCTTGGGCACCATGCAGGCTGTTAAAAGTAGGGAGGTGACCTGGGATCCTGGCTCACGAGACCCTGGCCACGGCTGGACAGGTGACCCCGCAGGCTGTGGCCCGGGCCACCCCATTCCCCTGCCGCCCCCATGGCAGCCTCATGAGGGAGAAGCCAGGCCACCTTGCTCTGACTGAAATGCTTCATGGAAAACCTGCCCCTCGTCAGAGAGGCTGCCTCACCTGCTTTCTTCCCTAGCTGCCCACTGGCAACTCCGCTCATGGGATGGGATGGTCTCAGAAGCCCCAGGGCCCACACCAGGGCAACTGAGCAGGCTGGGCAGCCTGAGAACCCGCATTTCTGATGGGGGGTTGCAGCCGGGCCCAGACTGGGCCCCACTTTGAGCCAATGGGTTAGGTGTAAATATCACTTGTACCTTTTAGGAAAATGACACATCGGGATTATCTGAAGAGCGTTTTTTAGCCAGTGGAAAATGGAATTTGCAGGACAGCTGACCTGGGCAGGCGGCGTGAGTGAGGGTGCTGTCAGGCCCAGGGCCCCCTCGCACACACTGTAGGGGTCAGGGCCGTGGCACCACCACGGAAGACGCCTGGAGTGGTGGCGTGCACTCACCACGGGGAACTGGTGGCAGAGCAGAAGGCTCAGCTGCAGGAGCACCTTCCTCCTCACGTCGCCCGGGAACTGCACCATCCCACAGAACCTGCAACAACACTGACCTCCAGCCTCGAGGCAATCGGGCCTGCTTCCGTGAAAACCTGCCCCACATGAGCACGCTCCCCAAAACGAGGCACAGCCCCTCCCAGGAGGCCGTCGCAGCTGACCCCTGCGAGAGACACAGGTGTTCTCCACGGACATCACAGCACCAACTCCAGACGCACTGAGACTAAGATGAAGTCCGCGTCTCTCCCTCCTGACCGCCCTTCCCTTCATCGTCACAGCGGGAACTCAGAACTTACACCGCGACGCTAGACCGCAGTTTCTGCACGTCCTTGGACTTCTTGATTTCCTCCTTACAAAGCGCGAGCAGCTTCACACTGAAGGGGTGGCTAAAAGGGAAGAACACGATGCCAGAGACGAGCTTTCAGCGAGCATGTGCCGCACGGACATGCTGTGGCATCCGGCGACGGCGCGGCCACCAGATGATCAGAGGGCCTTGTCCCCCAGGGGTGCCACACAGCCACATTAACTGGCTCCTTTGCCAGTGCCTGTCCCCGGCATGCGCCTCCCCACCCTCACCAACCGGAGGGGCACACAGCCCGTCCCCGGCAAGTCCAGCGAGTGCAGGCTCAGCCCGGGATCAAAGGAAGCGATGACCAGCTTGTAACCAGGCCCAGCTCCCGGGTCCAAGGAGAACCCAGGAGTGGCCAGAGCATGGACACACGTCCTCCTCCATTCTGCACAGCTGAGGACGACGTGGGGCCAGGCCAGCAAGGCTCCCAACGACACAGACATGGTCCTCCTCTCCAAGCCGCTGCTGGGGGTTCCACTGCCCCCGCTCCCTCTTCTTTGTCCTCAGGGAAAGTGGCCCTTGGTCTCCCTCCACCTGCTGGCGCCCCTGCTTACCTCCTCCAGATCCCTGTCACCCAGAGCTGTCGGTATGCACCTCCAGCCCCCTCCCCTCTTCAGGCGTCTCCCCACAGCTCACTGAAACGCTTGTTGTGGACCGAGTGACCACCACGTCCTCCACCTACGTGACCACGTGGCTCACACCACTGATGACCTACTGTGACGTGCTCTTCCAACTCGGCCTACTTCCCCGTGGCTCTGCTCCCCGTCGTCCTAACAACAGGACACCCCACAGCTCCACTGGGGCTTTTCTTGGTCTACACCCGCTCCCTTGCTGACCTCATATGCCTCATATGGATTCATATGCCCCCCCACCCTCTGAGGACTTTCCACTGGGTTACAGCCTTGAAGATCCATCTCCTCTGGGAGATGTTCTTTAGACAGAAAAGCATGACCCCAGATTCGGGCCGGGCCCGGGGGGGCGGGACAGAGTGGGAGACAATTAACGTGGGAAAACACCAGGCGGGGCCCACCTGGCACAGCTCTTCCCAAGTCCCTGAAACGTGCCCAGAAGGAAGCTCCAGCCCCCCCCTCCCCCCCCCCCGCCACCAGGGCATAAGATGCCCAGCCCAGGGGCAAAGCCCTCAAGGTCTGGGATCCAGGGAAAGTCCTCAGGCTCCTAACAAGATAAACCAGCCACTGTGAGCCTACACACCAGAGCTCACTGGCCAGGAGCAGACTCGGGGCTGCCGTGTGTCCGTGTCCCTGCACACACCCACCCTCTGTGCCCACACCCGGCCAGCCCCCACAGCCCCATTCAGTCCCCCTGTGACAGTCGCGACGCTCTGCACTGCCCGTCTCCACCCTGGTCCACTGCCCATGACCGCCCTGACTGCCAGGCCCCCTTTGGTCGGCGGGGTGGGCAGCGTGGTTACCTCACCTGCTCGGGTTTTTTCCCACCTGAGTGTCAAGGGCCACAGCAGGAGCCTGGCCGGAGGCGCAGCCCCAGCCTCACTAGGGACAGCCAAAGCCTCTTGCCGGCACGGACCAGACCTGAACGTGCTGGAAGTCACCTTCCGGATTCTCACCTCTGCTTCTCCTCGCTCTGTCTCTACGGGGCGAGCTGCGAGGCTTGCCCAGCACAGAGGCACCGAGCGGGGCGTACTTACTCCTGCTCCGCGGTGAAGAGGTCGAAGCACCCGTTGGCGAGCATCTGGTCCAGCGTCTTCAGCAGCGGCACAGACACCCTGAGCGGGAGGGCGAATGCTGAGGCCCCAGGCGCCAACCCCGGAACCACCGAGATGCGGACTCCCCCAGAGTCAGCACCGTCCCAACCCAAATCCGGATGAGACATTGTGTAGAAAACGACAATCCTATTGTACAAGTCACACGGAAACACTAACGATCAAAAAAAGCCAAACAACTAAGGGACGCAAGAGTGAGCTGCACCCCTTAATTTCACCCGCAAAGCCCAAGGGAGCACAAGAGCACAGACCAAGGAGCAGAAAAACCCAGAAATGAGCTTACGTATCCAAAACTGATGAAAAAGTGGAAAACCAACACTGTGGAAGGGACAGATTTCAACACACTGGACACCCACACGCAGAAACAACACACACACATGGATCTGTCACTCGTGTCACACAGAAAATAACCCAAAACGGACCTTAGGTCTAAATATAAAACCTAATACTATAGGGGCGCCTGGGGGGCTCAGTCGTTAAGCGTCTGCCTTCGGCTCAGGTCATGATCCCAGGGTCCTGGGATCGAGCCCCTCGTCTCGGGCTCCCTGCTCAGCAAGGAGCCTGCTTCTCCCTCTCCCACTCCCCCCGCTTGTGTTCCCTCTCGCTGTGTCTCTCTCTGTCAAATAAATCTTTTTAAAAAATAATAAAAATAAATTAGGAAGAGTCAGGGCGCCCTGCTCCGCGGGGAGCCTGCTTCTCCCTCTCCCACTCCCCCTGCTTGTGTTCCCTCTCTCGCTGTGTCTCTGTCAAATAAATCTTTTTAAAAAATAATAAAAATAAATTAGGAAGAGTCGGGGCACCCTGCTCCGCGGGGAGCCTGCTTCTCCCTCTCCCACTCCCCCTGCTTGTGTTCACTCTGTCTCTCTGTCAAATAAATAAAATCTTAAAAAAAAAAAAAAAAACAACTAATACTATAGATCTTCTAGAAAACATCAAGAGAAAACCTTGGTGACCGAGTCAGGCCAAGACTCTTCGCTCTGACACAACAAACACACCCATAAAAACCAGGGGGAGGAGCCGGAGCATGTGCACATGGAGGCGCCCGCTCAGAGTCCGCCAAGCGCGTGAAGGACAGGTCACCACCTGGAAGGCGGTGTCTGCAGGCCACTGTCTGACAAAGGGTTTGCACAGCTCACACGAGAAATCTCAAAACTCAGCAGGACGGGAAATCACGACTACCCAACTGAAAAATAGGCGGGAGGTCTGAACAGACCCTCATTGGGGAGGAAATCCACGCCAGGCAGGAGGGAAGCCCCGAAGCCAAAAGGACAGGCCACAGTGGTCGGAACACACAGACCGCGCCTGGACCCTCAAGACGCCCCAGCAGGGTATAAAACAGTGTGACCTCTTTGCAAAACAGTGTGGCAAGTTTGTAGAAGTTGAACATCCACCTGCCATGCAGCCCAGCTAGCCTGCTCCTCAGCACCAAAGTGGGGACACGTCCACACAGACATGTCTGCGAATGTCCCTCGCAGCTTTCTTTATAACTCCGGCCACAAACAACCCTGGCGACCATCAACAGAGGAACCAAGTGTGGTCTGACCGCACAATGGAAGCCAGACACATCGCAGGTTCCACTGAAATACACTCACAGAAAATGCCCACTGAACCCCAGGGACAAAAAGCAGATCAGCGAGTGGTTGCCTAGGGCTGGGCGCTGGAAGGGGTGACGGTGTGTTCAGTGTCCTGACTGGTGACAGTTACAGGGATGCCAACAGAGTCAACGTCTACCGAACTGCACCCTTTACTCACACTCAGTGCCATCCAGGAAAAGAGAAAAGACCATCGGCTGAGCTCCCATTTGCTTCCCACAGACAGGACAGGCCAACAAGGGCCTGCACCCACGCTGTTGTGACCGGGGCCCAGCTACCCAGGACAGTTGAGAACCAAGTCCAAGAACAACCCTCTCAGAGCACTTTGGGAAACACTCCCAATTCCAAGGTCAGGGCCCAAGGGCTCTACACGCTGCCTTCATGGAAAAGCAGTTAGCAAAAACAATACAGCAAAGATGCTCAGAAAACAAGGCCTATTTCTTGCTGCAACATTCCAATCCTGGCCTGCAGAGATCTTGACACACAGTGGATGTGTCCATGCACAGACCAAGGAGATGTCACCTCGGGGAAGAGCCACGTGTACCCTCCCAGGCTCATCGCCTTGGTCATCTTTAAAGTCCTAATTTGGCTGACCCACAGGGCAGGCTGGTGGCAGCTCCACGATGGTGATGTGGCTGGTGGAACGCCGTGAGCCGTGGGCACTCCCTGGCCTGGCCGCAGTCAGGTCCCCACCTGGGCTATCTCACCGCCCCCTTGCAAATCCTGGTGAGTACAAGTGAGACCGCGGGGGTCTGAAAACCGTGATGAAGGCACCACCCCTTACCTGTCATTCAGAAGGTTGTCCTCAAAGACCTGCAGGAGGGTCCCCCCGAAGCCCTCCAGAGCCTGTGGGTCATTCTGAATCCCCTTCATGTACTCAAAGAGGCTCTGCGTTGAGTACCTGACCTGCAACACAGAGATGCACTCTGGTAACGGTGACAAGACCGCCACCCCCTCGCCACCTGCCCCAGAGGCCACCGCGATGGTTCCACTCCAACATCCACGATGGAGCCAAGGAGACAGACCAACACAGCGTGGGGATCTTGGCAACGTCCCGCCAGATGGGACACAAGCACAGAGACATGGAAGGAGCACTGACCCAGAAATGCTTCTCCTGGGGCAGCAGTGCAGACCGAACACCACAACGACCCCTAAAAGTTGACCTCAGTGGAGGCTGCAGTCTCCCCGAGAAGGAGGTCAGGGGACCAGATGCTCCGACACCTTCCATTCGAAACTCAACCTGTAGCCCCCAAGGCACTGCTGGGCTCAGAGAACCTCCCCACAGACCCCAACGGATGAGCAGAAGCAGTCGATGCAGTGACCGCATGGACGCGGACACAGCTGGCGGTGGGGGCAGCAGGACTCCAGCAGCTGGGGGAGCACCGAAGAAACCCGCTGCCACAGCTGCCTACAGGGCCCCAGACCAGAGTCGCCTGCCTCCATGCCACAGACCCAGGACAGGGAGTGACCAGGAACGAGTCAACAGGAGGAAGTGAGCCGACAGACCCCCTCCCACCCAAGAGCACAGGTACGAGAATTACAAGACACGGCACACGGGAGAGCACTGCAGGTTAATTCTTGGGGAAAATGCGACGACAAAGATGAGCCTGTGGGGCGCGCCTGGGTGGTGCAGTCGGTTGAGCGTCGGCCTCTTGATTTCGGCTCAGGTCATGATCTCAGGGTCGTGAGATCGTCAGGCTCTGCACTCAGTGGGGAGTCTGCTTGAGATTCTCTCTCCCTCTGCCCCTCCCCCCCATGCGCTCTCTTAAAAACAAACAAAAAACACAAAAAACAAAACCCAGATAAGCCTGCAGTGAAAAAGCACAAGAGAGATTTCAAAACAAAGTGAACCTTTGGTAATAAAAAACGGAATTATGGAAACCAAAAATTCAGCATGGGGAGGGAATTAAACAGCAGACTGTACAAAGCTGCAAAACAAAATAGTACCTGGAGAAGAAGACTGAAAACCAGGGAGGGCGGAGCACAGGTGGATACGTGGGGATCATAAGGGGTATACGGGCGGAGGAGATCCTGAACAAGAATGAGGAGGGCAGAGAAGTTTCCAGAAAAGAACACAGACCACAGATCCCAGCCGGTCACAGGCTGCAGCTGCCGAGCGCCAGGCGAGGGATGAGGGGGGCATCCCCACAGCCGAACCAGGAGCAGCGGCCCCACCAGACAGGGCTCTTGCTCTGGCGACACTGGCATCCAAGGGCAGGGGAGTGAAAACGCATCCGCCGTCCCCATGGAAACCCACGTGTGACCACACAGGGGAGCAGGACATCCCCCAACGGCTCCAAAGTGGGGTGCACACGACACTGCTCCCGGGTCCAAGGGAAAAGGACGTGTGACCCCTACGCCAGAGAAAGGACACGAGAAAACGGAACACACAACAGACCAGACTTATCCAGAAAATGACGGCACAAAGAGGAGGAAAGAGAAGCAAAGAGGGCGAAGCAGCAGCTGGTAAGTGAGGTCCAAACGGGCCGCCGAGCCCAACGCTCACAGGAGAACCAGGCTGCCCTGTGCCATGTGCAGCGGGACGCCGTCCACACAGAAGCTCGCCACAACTTTCCTCGTAGTTCTGTGTGCTTCAGGTTCTCCTAAATAGTCCTGCCACTGAGCTTCCCACTGGGAACGCCAGCCCACTCTCAGCAGAGGTAACACGGTCCTTGGGGGTCCTGCCCTGGAAACCCAAGGCCAGGGGAAGGGGCGGACCCTTGACCCCACTTTGACCCCCAAAGCAGAGGAAAGACCAGCACAGCGAGGACCAAGCTGCCCTCCCAGCATGTGCCTCTCAGCCTCTGGCTGTCCCACTCAGACCTCCCACACCGCCCCAGCCCTGGGCCAGGTGCCACCCACCACCATGGGCCTGGGAAGAGGCCTCCTCACCGTCGACTCGGTCAAGCCGCCCACGGACACGGCCAGCCCCAGCAGGACATGGTAGCGGTAGGTGGGCAGCCCCAGGAGCTGGGTGATGCGAGGGAAGGACTGGGACGGCGCATTCCAGTTCACGGAGGCCATGTCGGATCTGCAGAGAGTGAGCCAACAAGCTGGAGGGGGGCCCGCGCCCGCCGGGGGTCGGGGACCCCGGCCTCCCGTACCTGGGGAAGAGCTTTTCCAGCTCTCCTCGGTGGGGCACGTGTGGGACGGGAGAGCCGTGAGAGTGCAGCAGAGCCATGAAGACGCGGGCGGCGTGCGCGCGGATCCGGTCAATCTTCTCACTCGCCTGCTGGGCCACATGACACATGACTTGCTGACAGCTACAAACCAAGAGCGAGGCCATTAGCCCAGCTTGAACCCAGGGCACCAGCCAGAGCAGCCCCGCGAGCACGGCATCTACTCCAGCCACAGGGTGGACGGGACGCAGCCACAGTGAACCTGAGCCCTCAGAGGCCTGAGCACCAGGTCTGGGGTAGAAGCAGTGCAGACAGATGGGGTGGGCTGGGTGACGGGGGGAAGGGGACACAGGAAGGAACTGAAGGTAGGAGGGAGGGAAGGGAGGCCCCGGCAGCAAAAGCAGACTGGACACAGAGACCCCGGCCTCCCCCCACAGTGCTGGCGTCCTCCCACCGACTGGGCCAGACCCCACACAGGAGGCACTCACACACTGGCCTCGATCAGCTCTGGCTGCTCCCTCCCCAGCAGGAGCGTCAGGTCCATCAGACTGGTCATGGCGGCCTCACGGACCCTGCAGGGACAAGGAGGCGATGAAGAGCCCCAGGTGCCATGTGACCCACACTCAGGAGGCTCAGACACCTTCAACCAGGGCGAGTTCCAGAGACTGACCGTCACTTTGGTAGGAAAGGCCCACCAAACGCAGTACACGCAGCTGGCTAGAGCACTTTCTCCTGCGCTCTGTTAGCAAGGACGCATGTCTGACACCCGAAGGCAGATGCCAGGTCCCAAGTGCACACAAACGGCACTGAGGTGCCCACAAAAGCTCCAAATGCAGTACGTGCAGTGCGGCCTGGTCCACAAAGCCTTCTCCCGGCAGAGAAACTGAGGGACAGACGCATACGGAGCAGCTCCTGTCTGCCACCACCCTTCCAGATCAGGGCGTCGCTCTCCACTGCGACAGACTCACTCCACATCCGCTCACACTGAAGAAACGAAGCTTCCACAACGTGGAAACCTGAGCCCACACCATGACTGGCCAAACCAGGGTGAAAGCCGCACTTCAGACCGGGGACACAGCTGGGCAGCAGGGACCACAGACCCGCCCCGCACCAGCAAGGCCGGCAGGTCCTGCAGGCCAGGCACTGGCCCTTCCACCGACAGACAGACGGAGGCCCCGGCCCACAGGAGCCTGGCCGGTGAAGCACTGAGCTCAGGTGTGGGGCTGCTGGAGGCACGAGACAGACACGGGCCGGGGTTCACGGGAGCAGGACAGGCTGTCCCCAGGGCATGGCTGCCAACCAGATGCTGCTCAGGACCTGAGACATATGCCTGCCCATCTGCAGGCGCCAGGCTGGGCAGGGTGTGGGAGACACGAGGACGGCGGGGCCCTGCGGACCCCCCAGTGTCTGTGGGTACAGCACTCACAGGAGAGGTGGGGGAAGAGGACACACAGAGGACAAACCCAAGCCTGCACACACACCCTCGGGGCCTCACCAGCTCCTTACAGGTGGCGCACGGTCCGACCCCACACAGAGGGCCTCAGGCGACCCGCACCCACACCACAGGCCTGACCTTCGTGCTCCCTGCAAGCATGTGCACACCCAAAGCCTCCGCCATTCTGAGTGTACACTTTCTGGGTTTGGTTAGCGCTACAAGGAATGGTTTAAAAAAAAAATAGGGGCTCCTGGGGGGCTCAGTCATTGAGTGTCTGCCTTCAGCTTCGGTCGTGGTCCCAGGGTCCTGGGATGGAGCCCCGCATCGGGCTCCCTGCTCGCAGAAAGCCTGCTTCTCCCTCACCCACTCGCCCTGCTTGTGTTCCCTCTCTCACGGTCTGTCAAATTAATAAATAAAATCTTAAAAAAAAAAAGTGTTCTTATACAAAGTAGAGTATCATATAGGTAAATCAATTATGCATACTGAAATACTCAGGATACAAGGGGGCATAAGAAGATTTATAGATAATTAAAACATCTAAATTATGGTGCACACCTGGGTGGCTCAGTCGTTAAGCGTCTGCCTTCGGCTCAGGTCATGATCCCCGGGTCCTGGGATCGAGCCCCATGTCAGGCTCCCTGCTCCCCGGGAAGCCCGCTTCTCCCTCTCCCGCTCCCCCTGCTTGTGTTCCCTCTCTCGCTGTCTGGCTGTCAAATAAATAAAACCTTTAAAGAAGGGCGCATGGGTGGCTCAGTCAGTTAGGTGTCTGCCTTCCGCTCAGGTCATGGTCCCAGGGTCCTAGGATCGAGCCCCGAGTTGGGCTCCCTGCTCTGCGGGGAGCCTACTTCTCCCTCTGCCTCTGCCTCTCTCTCTCTCTCATGAATAAATAAATAAAATCTTCAAAAAATAAATAAAGAAAGAAAGAAAGAAAGAAAGAAAGAAGGAAGGAAGGAAGGAAGGAAGAAAGAAAGAAGAAAGAAAGAAAGAAAGAAGAAAGAAAGAAGAAAGAAAGAAAGAAAGGAAAGAAAGAAAGAAAGAAAGAAAGAAAGAAAGAAAGAAAGAAAGAAAGAAAGAAAGAAAGAAAGAAAGAAAGAAAGGAAGAAAGAAAGAAAGAAAGATTCTTAGGGACGCCTGGGTGGCTCAGTCAGTTAAGCGTCTGCCTTCGGCTCGGGTCATGGTCCCAGGGTCCTGGGATCGAATCCCACATCGGGCTCCCTGCTCAGCGGGAAGCCCGCTTCTCCCTCTCCCGCTCTCCCTGCTTGTGTCCCCTCTCTTGCTGTGGCTCTCTCTGTCAAATAAATAAATAAAATCTTTAAAAAAATAAAAATAAATAAATGAAAATTAAAAAATTAAAAAAAAAAAAAAAAGACCAAGTGTTAAAATACTAGGAGAGGACAGAGGCAGACACAGGGTTGCCACAGATCCCAGAACAAACAGGCAGGTCTTTAAACAACATGCTGACAGAAAACAGGTGGAAAAATAAGTGACTGGGGACGGTCTAAAGAAAGCGAGAGTCTTCTGAAAAGGACGCACGTCGCTGGGCGTCCACGCCCGCACCGCACAGGCCTTGGGGGGAACGCCCGCACCAGCACCCGGGCTTCCTCCTCACAGGGTTCCGTGTCCGTGCTGCGGAGGGACCCAAGAAAAGCCACCGCCCTTCCGGCTGGAACCATGGGGAGTTGGGACGACCAGGGCCCCCGGGAGCACAGGGAGCGCCGTGTGGGGGTGTGCCCCAGAGGGGGACCCCACGCCCACGCAGGAGGGCTGCCCACCACACAGCACAAGGGTGGCCGCCCACATCAGGTGAGGCGGAGACCGCAGTTCTGGATTCAAACCAAGCCCGCTGGCCACTGGAAAGCCATCAGCACCCCCGGAGGAGTGAGGAAACCCATCCCCACAGCAAACGTCCCGGAGCCAGGATCCGCTCCAAAACCACATGCCCCACAAAGAACCGGGAAGAACGACCCACTCTCCAGGGCACACAGCTGAGCCCGGGGCGGGGTCCGACCATCATCACTGACTGACACAGACCCCGATCAGGGCAGCGCCCCCAGCCCGCATCCCACAGGGACAGGGAAGTGCAGGGGTCGGGGCTGTGCTGTCGTAGGGCCACCAGGCAGCTGTCACGGTGGACTCCCCAAGGACACGGGGGCGCCCCAGGCTCCCACTGAGGAGCCCTGCCCGCATCTCCAAGGGCACACCGAGGCCATCAGGGCCCCACGCGGCCGTGTCCCCAGCACCATCTGGGACTGAGCAGAAGGGAAGAAAAGCAAACCAGTGAGGTGAGGGAACATCCTGATGGAGGAAAAGGCGGGGAAGGCCGGCAGACACAGAAAGTGGGGAAAAGCCCCAGACGGGAACTGTAATGGAACAGTAACAAAATCAGAGCCCTCTCAGGCGACCCTGATGGCAGGGAAGAGCCAGTGAACTTGAATGTAAATTAGAATTTACACAACTGAAGAAGAGGAAAAAACTGAAAAAAAATGAGTAGAGCCCCAGGGCTTACGGGCAGGAATGGGGCCCACAGGGGGATGCGGTGTCCAGGATGAGGTGGGGCAGGGGAGATTTAAAGAAAGTGGCCAAAAACTTGCCACATATGGAAAAAACATGTGCATTTCTTTTTTCTCTTTCAAGGCTTCACATAAAGCTCAGCTTCTGTTTCCACTGTAATAAGAGAACGATTCCACCCAATGTCAGTGACACCTTACCCCACGCAGCCTCTCAGCACAATGCCCATCACAGCGTGTCCAGAACAAGAGACAGAAGTCCTAAGGGTAGCTCTCAGTTCCTCCAACGAAAGGGTAACTCGGTTTGCTATTTACAGTAAACTGAAATCTTGGAAAGACGACAGCTGCCAACGTGAGAACAAAGAAATGACACACAAAGTAAACCTTGCGCCGTGGGCACAGCCTCCTCTCGGCTCAGGCTACAACAAGTTGTCTGGGGGCGTCCTCGCGAGAACAGTCAAGCCGAGGTTTCTCCCAAGCCTGAGATGTGGGTACCTGGTTTCCCATCAGAAGGGGCCACGGTTCACTGTGCAACTGAATCCCCAGAGAAGTACCCATCTCCTCCTCCTCCAAAGTGGTCTGACACCCTTCTTCCCCTAAATGGCCACATCAGGGCCTTTGTCTGCTTGAACTTTCTCAGAAGAACTGGAAAGCCAACCATGGGGGCTGGCACAAGGGAGTGGCAAGTGTCTGTGCTTTAGAATTTAGTATTTTTCAGAGAAGAGTGGAACACAACCATGAGCCAGGCCCAAGGATGCTCTGCTGTCCCTAGAACACAGGCCCAGGGGCACAGCGCACCTCCAGGACCATGAGCAAGAGACCACGGGCCACCTTACCATGCGCCCACGTCCCCACGGCTGTCGGTGGTGTAGTCGTGCAGACAGCCCAGCAGGGTGCGGTAAGTCTGGGAGACGTTCTCTTCACACACAACCTCGTCTGGGGACCCTCCTGCCCTCACGCCAACCGTCTGGCAAACCCTGAAATTATTAAAAATGCGTGAAATATGGCAAATGTCTGTGAACTCCATCTTTCCCGTCATCTTGGCCTGACAAGACACGCTGAAACAGGCCAACAACCTCAGAGATAGAGTCAGAATTCCAGAGTTCCTTCTGTGCTGACATACGCTGAATGACACTTTTCCCTAAAATCACATTTCTTAGTGTCTGCAGCTTAAAAGGTGTGCAGGAGGCCACCTGTGCTGGCCCCTCCCGCCTCCGTCCTGGCAGAAAGGGGTGGTGCCACCATACAGCAGAAGAGGGGCGCGGGTGGGGGACAGAGAAAGGAAAGCACGTCCCGTTGTGCGTGCAGTGTGTGGTCAACACCACATGGCCCTTCCAGACTTAAGGTTCATGCCCCAGTTCTTGAGGTGGGTTGCTGTTCCTAAAACAAAGAAGTCTAATATTCACTATAGCAACAATGAATAAAGTGTCAGTGAGCCTCTGAGTTGGAAATATTCTTTGACAACCCTCTGAAAAGAGAATAAACGAGAAAATAAAAAGTTACGCCGCTGCCTCAAAGTAGATTCATGTGAGACTGGGCTCTCACACCGACAGGGACCAGCTCCGTGCTCGGTCGCTGGCGCCCGGGAGAGCAAGGACTGGGGGAACAGCCCGGAGGAGACGCACCTTGAGATCGCCTTCAGAGCGTCCCGCCTGGACTCGGCAAAGCTCACGTTCTCAGGACGAATGACAGTCACGGCCCCCAGGCCTGCCAGCACCTGAAACGCAGTGATGCGTCCTCAACAGAACGTGCACCTGGCAGGCCACACGCCCTGCTGCAGCCCGGAGGACACATGGAGGGGGCACCTGCTGCCCCCGGTCATCTCTGCAGGACATCCCCAACGCCAACTGCCCCCTTCCTGTCCTGTGGCCCACAGCTGGAAATTGTGACAAATGATCAGCCGACTCCTGAGATCTCGATCCACTACTTCTTAAAGGGCCATTCGGTCCTGAGAGTCGTATGTTCCAAACGGCTAAGCTGCAGAGTTGAGTTTTAGGGAGTCTGTCCAGTGCCTCTGACCCCGAGACGTCGTGGGCAGGAGGAGGGGAACACAGCATGGCTGTCTCAAGACAGGAGCGTGTTTCCACAAAGGCAGCAAGAGCTTCCCTCTGTTAGACTAGAACTCAGCCCCTCCAAGTCCCCCCATCACACGACAGTGTCCACCCGGCGCCCTCAAGAGCACCCCGTTCCCTTCCTCATGGCCACATGCCTGGACGGGCGTAAATTCATGGTCTGACCCCTCCCAAGCCCTCCCCCACCGGGCTCACACACAACGCCCGGACCTAACAGGCCATTTCTCTTCAGGGCGCGGGGCGCCTCACCTGCTGCAGCCTGCCTTTCAGGAGGAAGCGTGGGAGGGCGCCCAGGGCCAGAGAGAAGCCACAGCGAGCCGTCTCCTCCGGGCTCTGCAGGTCAGCGAGATACTGCCGTATCAGCTCCTCTGAAAGGCAGCAACAAAAGGGCGGCTGCCTCCCTTCCCGCACAACACGCTCTCCTTCTGACGTCTCAGAAATGCGTGAGTAGGCAGCGAGAGAGAGGGAGGAAGCACGCCGGCTTCTGAAGCAGATGTACCTTAGAAGTGGCTCCGATCAAAACAGATTTAAGAATTTTTATTAGGTGGGTTTGAGGTTTTCATAGGCAATTTTAATACACGATTTCACTCTTAGGAGAATAAATCCAGGAGGGGTTAAGAAGGCGTGACGTGGTCCTAGTCACCAGGAACACAAAGGCGCGCGGTGGACGGGATGCCCTCCCAGGGTGAGCACGAAGGGGCAGAAGCTGCCAGTCAGGCTGAAGCACACTGTGCGCAGACAGATGCTCCCCGAGACGGGAAGGCCGTTGTCGGGGATGAAACAGGGACGGGAACAGAGGGTGCAGGGCGGACTCAAGGGACAGCTGGGGCGGGAAGGGCAGTGGGGTTGCCGGGCTGTCCTCGACCAACGCAGCTCTGGAGGGGCCAGGAGGCCGCACACCCCGCCCTGTCTAACCATCGTGACCGATTCTGGTCCTCACTGCTTAGATGTCAACCAAGCACAACCGTGGCAACACGTGCATGGAAACCTCAAGGGCCTACATGAGGACAGCGAAGGAACACCGGGACGTCTGTGCACCCCTGACGTGGCCACCTCCGCAGCGCTGGCTGGGGTCTCCACACACTGAAGGTGACTCCAGAACACTGCTCACTCTCCCCGCGTGCACAGCGACGCACACTCTCTTCTCAGGCAGAAAGTGAAACGTGACCTTATCATCCCAATTTTTAAAAACAGACTAAATTCAAAATGATGTCAGTACCTCTTTATGTAACACTGCCTATGGTCAAGGGAAAAACATCATAAATTTGGAAAGTCTGTCAGAAGATCACATTACCGAATATTTTCTTATTTAAAAAAAAAAATCAGACGATTTTTACCATTTAAAATAATTTAGAAGTGTTTCATATGCTTCTGAAGTGACTGTCAGGCAAGAGAACACTACAGGGCACCACAGTGGGTGGACACGAAGCCTCTCCGTGCAGACCCGTCATGGGTCAGACGAACCACACGAGGGGGTTCTGGAAAACCCAACTGAGGCAATGCTGTGCAGCGAGGCTTCTGTGAACAGGGAAAAGGCAAAGTGCACGCACATGCCAAGGACCCGCACCAGGAAACTGTGGCATGGTGCATACGGAAACCCTAAAACCACATCTGCCATAAAAAAGTCACCGAAGCAACCAGGGACAGGGAATCAGGACGTGCTAGGACAGCAGACGCAGACCCTCTGAGCCGACAGAACCCCGGCATCGAGGACCAGAAAGAAGAAGAAGGAGCCAAGGAACAAACACCAAGGGAAACACGAGAACGAAATGGAACAGGAAACAGGAGGCTCCCTCGGAGGCCAGAGAAGGAAGGGGTTCCATCCACGTATTACAATGGGAACCTCCAAAGCACAAAGTGGGGGAGTTTACTTGAAAACGTCATTCAGGCAGACGCTGCCGACATTAAGCACAGGCTCTGCATGGAGAGAGAGCATCATGCTTGTTCTCGCCCGTTCGGGGGAATGCCAATACGCCAGGAAAGCACCTGTCTAGAGCCGAAGAGGGATGAACACCTGCGGCAGCTACACGAACCTGGCGGATCCGGGAGCAGCAGGCCTCCGTGCCCCCTTCCCCCACCCCCATCTCCGCCCAACGCCCAGCTCGGGCCCTCCCTCCCACACCCTGTCCACTTGCAGCAGGAGACGGGGCACCCAAACCCATACCCTGCACCCCCGCTTCCTGCTGGAAGCCCCCGCGGCCCACTCACCCTGCCTGGCGGGATCCGCCTCCCCGGTCTCCAGGGCGTAGTACTCGCTGCAGAGAGCAGCCAGGGCCAAGACAGCCGCTTCCTGAAACAAAGCGGGCCGTGAGCATGCTGTGCAGCCTCCCGGGCGCCCCAGCCATCGGATCGTTCTGCGGTCAGGCCAGTGATTAAGTTTGAAACAAACAGAAACTGAATCATATACTCCTTTCCAGCACGTCTGTTGATCATCATCAGATATCTGTCAGATAACTTCAATATTCTCTGCAACTAATAATCTGAATGGAAAATATGATTTCTTCCATTCATGCAAAGTCTTCTAATAAAAGTTAATAATAAAATGGGGCATTTTTTTCTTTCCCAGCAGAATCAGCGAAGGGCAAAGTGTGTGTTGTACACACAGAAGTAACATACAGGCCTCACTTAGAGGGGAAGTTGCAGGGCCAGGGTGGGGGGAGGAGAGTGGAGCTGATGTGGTAGCAGCCGCGCCCCCCCGGCCCCCCCCAGAACACCTGTACTGCCAAGAGGAGGAGCCTGAGCTCCAGGTAAGCCTCCCAGGGTCAGACAGACAGCAAAGGGCAAATGCTGGGTTTCTACGCTCTTCCACCGCTTCCCCCAATCAGGCTGCTGAGCCCGACGGAGCAGCCCTGGAGAGAGGTGCCGGAGGCTGCACAGGGAGGGCTACACAACGCAGCATCACACCGAGAGGTCACCTGCGCAAACTACCACAATCCCTGCTGGTGTGAATCAATTAAGGGAATGCTCTTAAAAGGAAATTCTGAGGCCTGACCACGAAACATTCAGATTCAACTCGTAAAACTGTACTTGGATTCTACAGAACGATAAAGTTCCTTTAAAAAAAGAAGCATACGCAGGAGGCTGGAGAATTAATCATATGGGAAACCAACACGGACTTCCGTTTCTCCACCCTCAATACCAAAGCCCATCACCATCCACACTAGGACCTCCGTCACAGCTCCGCTAGGCCAAAGTCACCTGTCCCAGGATAGGAAAACAGCACATCGGCCACCGGACACACACACCCTGTCCTTGCTCACGATAGCCAGCACTCTCGGGCAAGGACCCTGGACTGCGGCTCCCACCTACACCTAAGTGTCACGGCAGAGTCTCCAACCCCATCATTCTGCATCTGAACGGGACACAAAACTCCCCAACTGAATAAACAATCACTATGGACATACAGGAGAGATGTTCAGAAGCTGAATCTAATTTAACCTGAGGCTGTCATATAAAATTTAAATATTCTGGTCATCATTGGCTGCACTGGTTTTTCTGATTATAAATTACATAGATAATACAATCTAGAATTCCAAATATAATTATGGCATTTATCAATGATCACAACATTCGTGTGTTGTGATCATAACGCACACAGTCCTTTGAAACAAACACTAAAAAAAAAAAGATTCATGTCACTATTTTTTTTAGATTTTATTTACTTATTTCAGAGAAAGAGAGAGAGAGCACATGAATGAGCAAGGGAAAGGGCAGAGGGAGAAGGAGAGAGAAAGAATCTCAAGCAGACTCTGCACTGAGTACAGAGCCCAACATGGGTCTTGATCCCAGGACCCTGAGATCATGACTCGAGCTGAAATCAAGAGTTCCACGCTCAACCAACTGAGGCACCCAGGCACCCCGAGTGTCACTCTCTATACAATGCAACAGCCAGAAAAATCTTGCTTACCATACCTTGATCTGTTGTCTAGAATGACTTGAAATAAGATGGAGATTTCTCAGTGTGTCATTTATCACCCACTGCCAACCATCTGTCAAAGGAACAAAAGACATTCATTTACCCAATTAAGAACATGTAGATGAAATTAAAACAACAGATCTTCTACCTCTTAAAGTTGCTAGAGATGAATCTGGAGAAAATCTAAGGTAAACGTTACGCAGGTTAGACAAAATCCAAGGGCCCTCTCCATTCGGAGAGAAAGCCTTCTCTTGGCTGCTGAAATGTCAAACTGTTACCGTGAGAAATTTTTGCTCTTTTAACACCGAAAGCTTCAGGAGACCACTTCTGGAAGCACCTCTCTCTCAAACAATGCCCCTGGGCCCCCACGAATAAAAACCTAAATATTTAACTCAATTAGATCCCACACTGAGCATAGAATGCTAAATTTATCCAATTCTTTTTTTTTTTTGGTCTCCTGGTCCCAGAACTTGAGGCTGCAAAACCAAAGAATAAGGGCGCCTGGATGGCTCAGTTGTTAGGTGTCTGCCTTCGGCTCAGGTCATGATCCCAGGATCCTGGGATCGAGTTCCACATCGGGCTCCCTGCTCGGCAGGAAGCCCGCTTCTCCCTCTCCCACTCCCCCTGCTTGTGTTCCTGCTCTCGCTATGTCTCTCTGTCAAATAAATAAATAAAATCTAAAAAAAAAAAAAAAAAGCAAAGAATAAAGTCGGCCGGGGGATAAAGGTGACCCCAAAGCCCCTTTCTTACTGCCTCTCTGTGGCCACGTGCCATAGAAGGTGGAGGGCTCGAGGTCTGCAGAGGGGCCTGGCCACTGCTCCACAAGAGCTGTCCCTCCTCACACATCCTGCCTGCACCACGGGTCCCGCAGGCCTGCACCATGCATCTGTCGGGGTAAGGGACAGCCAAGGCTGCCCGGCACTGGGGGCAGGTGCCACAGGCAGAGTGGCAGCCAGGAGCTCTGAGGAAGGAGCCTGACCTCTCACTAGACAAGGGAAAGATTCTCTCTCTTTTTGAGGAGGAGAGTGGGGGGGATGCTCATTATTTACAACGGGTTATCATCTATCCTAGCTGGTTCATTTTCTTTTTAACTTGAAATAGTTCTGGGAGGAAATGCTACAATGTGAGTCTACAAAGAAGAAGAGAAGCACTTACCGATTACGACGTCACCTCTAAAAGGCATCTTGGAAAGGGACAAGTTTTCTATTAAAATGCACACTAGGAAGGAAAAGAATAAATGCAATGTCATTCTCCAGAGTGCCCATCGAAGCACCTATCCTGCTGAGTGCTGAGCTGCTGGTACCAAGTCCCTCTGGCCACTCCGGACACACCAGTGCCCGTGTCTGGCCAGCCCGTGAGCAGCCCCAGCACCTCCTCAGCTGGGCAGCCTCAGGGAACCTGCTCCAGACCTGGCCCAGGTAGAGGCAGCCCCAGGGCCACATGGAGCAACACAGCCCACAGCTACAGATGTGACCCCAATACGAATCCCCAGGGACGACTCTCGATTCAGAGGACGCATGTGCTGATGGGGCCATCGACACCTACAAGTGACCAGGAGCTATGGCATCTGCCTGAGATGAGGACCATAGAGGAGCTGCTAACACAGGAGGAAAGGGATCTCCAAAGACAGTGGCAAGAGTCCTGTCACAGTCCACCTAGGTCAGGACAGGTGAGCACCCAGGAGTCCACTGAGGGGCCAAAATGAGGACAAACCAAGAGCACTGAGCTGCATGCTGTCAACAAACAGAGAAATTAATGCTATTATCCTCAACAGAATGGTTCCTGGACAAGCCATGGTGTTGAAATCTTGGGTAAATTCCTGACCTCTGTGAATAATTAGTGTCAGTTTTTTAAATAAAGAAACACAATTGCACTACTAATTATTTACCCCAAAGATACAGACATAGTGAAAAGAAGGGGCACATGCACCCCAATGTTCACAGCAGCAATGTCCACAATAGCCAAACTGTGGAGGGAGCCAAGATGCCCTTCAACGGACGAATGGATAAAGAAGATGTGGTCCATATATACAATGGAAGATTACTCAGCCATCAGAAAGGATGAATACCCACCATTTGCATCGACATGGATGGAACTGGAGGGGATTATGCTAAGTGAAATAAGTCAAGCAGAGAGGGACAATTATCATACGGTTTCACTCATATGTGCAAAGTAAGGAATAGCATGGAGGACCATAGGGGAAGGGAAGGAAAACTGAATGGGAAGAAATCAGAGAGGGAGACAAACCATGAGAGACTCTGATCTCCAGGAACCAAACTGAGGGTTACAGAAGGGAGGGGGGTGGGGGGATCGGGTAACAGGGTGATGGGTATTAAGGAGGGCACATGTGATGAGCACTGGGTGTTATATGCAAATAATGAATCATTGAACACTACATCAAAAACTAATGATATACTATACAGTGGCTAACTGAACATAATAAAAAAATTAAAAAGTTGAAATAAGGGATTAAAATAAATGACCAAAATTGTCATCATATAAAGACTAAGGAGTGCACACTTTGAAAGGGATTTTCAGTGTAGTAAAGGAAACTGAACATATTTAGAAATTATAAAAAAAATTCCAAGAAGCCAATTCAGTATTTTTTGCAATTTTTTCTTATATTAAACTTATTTACTGTTCAGATTTTTAAGGAGTATTCTTTATACATCAATTTTTATTGTCTATGATGACGATGATTGACATAATTTGTACATTACATATCACTGAAGACCAATGGTTTGGGGTCCCTAAATAAATGTACACAGTTCATCAAAAAATCTGGTATTTGTGAAAATATTACATCATTTCAGCTATTACTTTAAAAAAAAGGGGGGGGCGCCTGGGTGGCTCAGTCGTTAAGCATCTGCCTTCGGCTCAGGTCATGATCCCAGGGTCCTGGGATCGAGCCCCGCGTCGGGCTCCCTGCTCAGCGGGAAGCCTGCTTCTCCTCTCCCCCTGCTTGTGTTCCCTCTCTCGCTGTGTTTCTTTCTGTCAAATAAATTAATAAAATATTAAAAATAAATAAAATAAAGTTAAAAAAAAAAAAAGATTACCACACCCATGGCAGAAATCGGTCCAGTATAATCAATAGGTTAAAGACACCACCCACCGCAAAGAAAACAACCAAAGTGTGGGATGGAATCCACGATGCTCAAGGGAGGGTGGCCCTGCACCCACCACACTACAGAGAAACATCACAGAAAAAACTACCGCTGGCATTTTGGTGACCGCCCCTGGGCACCTGGCACGGCCACACCCACCCTCAAGCAGGAAGGAATGGTGATGCTTCCCCCACAGACACCCCCCTTTTTAGTCTCTCTACTCCCCCCTTTTGGTCCCTCAACTCCCGCCTTGAGCCCAGAAACCAGGCCTCAGCTGGAGCGTGACAGAAGTCAGGCCGCCAGGCTGTGCACAGGACAAGCACCTCCAGACCCTGGTGCTGACAACAGCTCCCCCCGAGGTCATGGTGTGCTGGGGTGCTTCCTGCTGTCACGCAGGGACCCACGGGCCAGACAGCCGTGCCCTCAAGTGCCGCCGGCCAGAGCTGAGAGCACAGCCGCGCAGTCTGCATGCACCTGGGGTGCCGCAGACCAAAGGTGAGCCGGTCCCCCTCCTCGCAGCTCCTGACTCCCATCACCCATGACCAGGAACGAGGTCCCACCTAGCGCTGGCAGAGACTCCAGCCACCACCCTGCCTTTCTCTCTAACAACGTAACCAACTCCTGGAGATCTCGCCATTGTGAGCAGTCATGTGGTTCTCCATGCTCTGGATGCAAAACAACTCGTTCTGTAGCTCTCCTGATGGGCTTAATGTTCCCTCCAGCGGTCACCGCATAGGCAATGGCCACATGTGCCTGTGGACGCAGACCACCCGTCTGCCCTTACACGGCTCTGCGTGCCGAGCCTCAGCAGCGGCACCCAGGACGGTGGGCAAACTGAGAAGCCTGTGACAGCTCACACGCTGGGGCGGGAGCCGGGGCTGTTAAGCTCTGATTGCGGCCAACCTGAGAGAGAACGCCGTTGTTCTCTCTGGTTAAGGGAACCAGCATCCCCCTGCCTGCTGGGGGAGGCTGAACACCTGTCAGCAACGCGAGGCTCTCTGGGTTTGCACTCACGTGGAATCTCCGTCCATCTGCTCCAGCAAATTTAAGAGACCTGCGCAGCCTGTAAACAATCACCTTTTCATTCACCTCAGTACAAGGATTTCCTCTAACTCTGGTGCCTACTGGCTTTATACATGGTGTATTCCCCCATCCAAAAGTTTTCAGTATTTATGTAGACGAACACACTACTTTCTACTGCTTGTCTCCAGTTATGCTGGGCAGCTATGTGCCAGAAGCCAGAAACAAAACGGAACAGAACCGCAGTCCTCACCAGTAGGAACTATCGCAGCAAGTATTAAGACGCGGTGTCCAGATCTGCTTTATAGGGCAGGGAAAACAGACAAGCAGCAAACGATGAGACTTGTTGGAGCGGGAGCACAGATAACACGGGGCTCCACAAGCTATTTCTCTGTGCTTTTGTATAGATTTGAAATTTTCCAAATTAAGATTTTTAGGGACCGATTCTATCCTACAATGTCTCCTAAAATTTCTTTGAAGCTTTTTAAATTATATTTTTTGTATTTGAGTTTTTAGTTAATCAGAAATTTAGTTCTGGGGGCACCTGGGTGGCTCAGTCGTTAAGCGTCTGCCTTCGGCTCGGGTCATGATCCCAGGGTCCTGGGATCGAGCCCCGCATCGGGCTCCCTGCTCCGCGGGAAGCCTGCTTCTCCTCTCCCACTCCCGCTGCTTGTGTTCCCTCTCTCGCTGTGTCTCTCTCTGTCAAATAAATAAAATCTTTAAAAAAAAAAAAAAAAGAAAAGAAATTTAGTTCTGGATATATGAGGTGAGGACATGATTTTCTTTTCTTTCACATGGCCCTTGGTGACATCATCATCCCTCAATAAGCCACCTTCCACACCAACGTTGGAAGTACCTCTGTGTCACATATCAAATCTCACTCGTGTCATTACATCAGCATCTACTTCTGATCCTGTCTTCTGCTCTACCTGCCTGTTTGCCCGCTCCTAAGAAAATGCCACTCTGCTTTGAGTGGTTTTACAGTATGTTTTAAGGACTGGAAAATCCAAGTCCTCAATATTTTATTTTTTAAGATTTTATTTATTTGAGAGAAAGAGAGAAAGCACGAGCAGGGGGAGGGACAGAGGAAGAGGGAGAAGCAGGCTCCCCGCTGAGCAGGGAGCCCCCCCCATGGGGCTCGATCCCAAGACCCTGAGATCATGACCTGAGCCGAAGGCAGATGCTTCACCGATGACCACCCAGGTGCCCCCAAGTCCTCAATATTTTAAAAAATAATTTTCTTGGAGATTTGCCCTGAACATGAACTTTAAATGTATTCTATCAAGTTAAAAAGGGGGGGGGGGGGCGCCTGGGTGGCTCAGTTGGTTAAGCAACTGCCTTCGGCTCAGGTCATGATTCTGGAGTCCTGGGATCGAGTCCCACGTCGGGCTCCCTGCTCAACGGGGGGTCTGCTTCTCCCTCTAACCCTTCCCCTCTCATGCTCTCTTGTCTCCCATTCTCTCTCTCAGATAAATAAATAAAATCTTAAAAAAAAAATTTAAAAAAAATTAATTAATTAATTAATTAAAAAGGGGGGGCGGTGCCTGGCTGGCTCAGTTGGAACAGCGTGTGACTCTCGATCTCAGGGCTGTGAGTTCAAGCCCCATGATGAGTGTAAAGATTATTTAAAAATAAACACAGGGCTTTGTAACTCCCTGTGAGTCTACAATCATTTCAAAATAAAAAGCTAAAAAAAAGTCATAGACTAGGTCATTCAGATCAACCCACCAGCTAAGTAAGACAACATTTTTAAAAAGCTGGACAAAAGTAAACTGTGTGTGCTTAAGTCAGTGGGGAGCTGCCAAGGAAATGGAGAGCCACAGAGACTGGGGGCCACAGCCCTGAGCTGGGCCACCTCTGCCAGAGTGGCTACGGTGACTCCAGAGAAGGCACACACTCAAAAACCCAGGAGGACGCCACGAGCCTCTACAGGCAACTGGGACAGAACGTGGAGTCCAGAGCACCTCATGGGCCTTGAAGCCAAAGGGCCACATCCTAGACAAACCTAGACGCAGGTCAGCTGGCTCCAGCCGGCACAGAACCGCTCAAGCCTGACAGGGATGGAGGCGCCCCAGGCTGCTCGCACCCCTGGCC